AGAGCGGTTGTCTCTGCGTAGCTTCAATGTCCGTAGCAACACTTACTTCAGATTTGCTATTTACGCCTGCCGGTCAACGTCGTACGTATAGACTGAGCAATTGTTTTTTCCACCTGTGACTCAACTCTGCTTTAACAGTATTTCCTAGACTGTTCTCTTTACGAGAGCAAGAGTCTGCCAATGAACTTCCGCTCGATTTTTCTATGGCTCGATATACTTCAAAGTGTTTCGACTATGTAGGAGACGACTTACTCGCTATGCAACGCGTCATTGTCTGTCTTCAAAAAACGATGCTGTGCGACGTGAGTTGTTGCTTCATGATTTGAGCTGATGTTAATATGGATGTAGCGTGTCTCAACCTCTACAGACGATTTAGAGAATGACTTCAAGATTCTAATGGTCTGGTCGAGAGCTACTCCCTACATGCGTTTCCATAACCAAGGACAATACTGCATTCATTTTCATGTCACAGGAGGGACCGATCTTTCGAACCGCATGGGCGCTTTCATGTACCATTTCTCTGTTCAGTATCTTCGACCTCATAGCCATCGCACGCCAGGTCGCTTTGTGCCTTCATCTAATGTGTTTGGCCTCTTTGTCACAAGAGACGGAAAATCATTCACCGCCGGTACCATTATCTGTACCGGAGATTTTGAAGACCAGTATGAATCTGTATCTATCGAGTGTTCGTTAGACATCTCGAAGGATTCCTTTTGCCATATGGGCGAACAAGTTACTATCAGTGCCGGTTTGCTCAAGTGTAATGTAATCGAACTGGAACCTCTTATCCTGAGGACTTTGCTTGCTGCCAGGTATGTCGCAGTATCAATCTCAATCTCCTGGTCTAAACTCACTGTTACATCACAATCAGGTCATTAAATTTGATGTAGTTACGCGTTACTTAGTGAACTGTACCTCTGCGTAGAACTTATGGTGCGCGTCACCGTGTGACTTACACTAAGCGGTGTGTATTAATTCGTGCACCTAAACCTAAGCCACGTGACTTCATCCTGGACCTAAACCTGTTCGCCGTTGGAGCCGGAGCGTTTACGCGACGGCGTGGCTTGTTGTCATACAATTTAAAGGGCTTACTCAATTAATGACCGGTTCCGGAAGGTTCAGCTCATTTGGGTACGTATCATGCAAATGGCACAGCTCCCCAGTCTTCTGAACGCTCTTACCGTGCAGCTCAGAAAGTTGGGATTAACATCTCTTTTATATATTATTGTAAAGTCCAATCGCAGTGCGTTTCCATTGACATGGGAAACTGACAGCAGCTGGGAGTAGTGCCGGTATCTGTCTCTTCCGAGCGCCACGTAAGACATGCAATCAAGTCCAAAGCCATAAATTTCATTGTATTAAAATTTCGACTAGACTTCAAGCAAGTGAGGAAGTTATAAGTACACCTCCTTCTAGATACTCACCCTGACAATACGTAGTTTTGGGATATAACAACTCACATATGAACTTCACGGTGAGTCAAAGTTCTGAATAACAGCTGCTCGGCCAGCTCAGACACTTGCTTTTGCAGTCGTAAGTACATCTTTCTTAATCCACGCGTCAGGCCTATAATTAACTCGCCGTAATCATTTGATGAAATGCCATAGCTGTCAGTCATGATAATGATATTCATATTTCGGCCAACTTATCTCATTTCAGGTTCTGGTCTTGGGTACACATGGCAGTGGCTTTCTGGATTAATTTATACGGTCTTTATGCAAGGTATGTGCTGTCTTTTGTGCGACCTGATCGTACGTGGATAGGAAGTGCTTATGTAAATTCGTTGTCCCTGAAATATCCAGGAATAATGGTTCAGCGCGTTTGCGCTATCTGTGGACCGAGTCCGATATTGAAACTGACCATCAAAGTTTTATACGCGATCGAAGCTGTGTCTCTTCTTGTGACTCAGTTTCTTGTAGTTGGGCCTGGAAATTCTTCCGGTAAGCGCCGTGTTGCGGCTTGATTTCACCACGTAATTTATTTACATGCTTGTAGGTGGCTTTGAGACTTTTAACGGCTACTATTTTGTTTGCGAATTTTATTTCTCTAACTTGTCAGCTGCTATTTTCTACAGCAGTGCAATCAGCGCGTTTGAAACCATTTTGTTGGCCACTGTATTATACTTCTCTTTTGTTCATATCCAAGAGCACAGAAAAATGTCCTATTACAATCTTCCTTGGGGCGACATTCGGGCAGTCATATACAGGGATAACATCCTATATTTTCTGCTGTAAGTAATACCCCTTAGCGAAAGCGATGATGGCTAAAGTCATGCTCTAGATCACTCTGCTCCAACCTCTTTGACCTACTTCTAGTTCTTCCGGAGTGGCCCTTTGGAATGAGCCCTCGCGGGGCAACTTGGTTTAACGCCTCCATGCTCCTTCTTTCTTCATTGCAGAAATACGTCTGGACACCCCGCATCGTGCTTCAAACTCGGGATCATTATGATCGCTTCTGCGTTAACGTCGATGGCCAATACCAGGAGCGTGGTGCAACAATCAATGACGAAACAGGGGTGGGGACCATGGTCTTTGCCGCCGCCGCACCAGCCACTTCCATCCCCTGATTTTGCCTGGAAATATGACAATATGCCGACAAGATATATATGTGTGTTGATACGGTCGACACTTCCCAGCTGGTTGTTCGTTATGTTAGATTTATGAAGCATTGGATCTATGTACAAGTGATTTTTTTTTCATGAACTCAGTTTTTTTTTTCCATTTTCCTGTGCGTTTACGCGATTATACATGTTTCTGTGCCAATAGTGCTCTGATCCTTCTGGATACAAGCTTTTGCTACTATGCTCAGAAATACATAAAAGGCTAAAGGCGAACAGCTATCCCACAAACTATTGGTGATGCGGACACCAGGTATACTACGAGGCAATGCATACTCACAAAGCAGCGATACTAGTATTGACAAAAAACAGGCAAACGACTCTCCAGAGTTATTGGGCATACCATATAGTAGCATACAACTCAGCTCTGTGCTGACTTACTTGAAACGCGGGGCTCCGCAAACATCCGCCATTGACGCCGGGGCCCAGGCTCGTGTATACGCTGAGGATCCTTCTTCCGAGTGGGCGTGACCGCTTGGTATAAACAGCATGCAATTACATTGATCAATGCTGTAAAATTGGTGTTGGCGATTCTAGGGTCTCCGATAGATCGATTTCAAGTCCCAGCTACTTAGTACTTTAGTAGAAGTTCCACTTGAGTCGCAGCATTCCACGGTAACTCTATAGATTTAGATTTTGCTCCGCACCGTGGGAGGATCTGCTGCTCAAACGTTCACGTTCAGCTCAGGCCAGCCTACTGTCCAACTTGGGACCGAGGTCGTACTATCTCTGTTAATGGATCCTGTTCGTTCTTCTCGTTGAATGTATCATTAGTTATACCTACTCATATGCCATAGGTCTCGACTAATCCAATCAAGAGAATCAATGTGAGGCGATGTGGACTTGCATCTATAACAATATGATCAAACTTTCTTCTATTCGTGAAGAGGCGCGTTCTGATTCCATTCACATATAAGTTGTCCCCGGTTTAGCCAATGTCTTCTTTGCCTCCCTTCCCTCACATAGAGCCGCCCTCATCATGTCTTCAAATTCTACCTTACAATCTGCTACATTACAGCTCGAGGAAGACGTACTTGACCAGCTCTTAATGAGCTACTTCACTGGTAAGCTCGCCCAACATGCATGCATGTAGATTTAGCTGTGATTAACAATTGGTCTTAAGGAGCCGTCTCAATCACAGCAACGTTCTATGACTGGTGTAAGTCTGGGCTGTTTTGAATTGCACACGTAAAGCAACGATTTGGTGACCCTTATTCGCAGTACTGAATATCCCCGCCGAGGTAAAGCTGAAGATCATCAGTACTATAGACTACAGGGACTTACTGGAGTGAAATGCGTCTGGCACTGGTGCATGATTCCGAAGGTTCAACTCATTTGGGTGCGTAGGATACACATTCGACACCCCAGATCACTAGTGTTCTGAATACTTTCTCCGTAGTTCAAAAAGCTGGGGCTAACAAGCTTTCTGTATTTAGCTGTAAGTGTTGCTTGCATTTTGGCTCCTATTGACGCCGGATATTGACATCAGCTCGGAGCAGTGTCGATATCTATCTCTTGTGACGGTAATGTAAGAACTACATTTGCGCTCAAGCCCATTGTTCTGATAACCCGCTTAGACTTGAAGCCAGTGAGAAAGCTAATTTCTCTTCCGATATGGACCTCACCGACAAATACAGTTTCGGGATATAGTAATTCCCATATGAACCTCCCAGTGAGCTGACTTAGTGCCACTTTGAAACATCGGCTTTGCTTAGCTCAGACACTATTCTTCTAGGCGTATGTACATTTTCTCTCACAGAAAGCCTTCTTGCCTGATATTAAATGGCCACTTTTATGTGGTAAACCATGAATAGTTTTTGGTCATAATAATTACCTGTTGCTTCAGCCGACTGATCCCTTTATTCAGGCAGTGGTCTTGGGTACATATGGGAATGACTTGGTGGATTGATTAATCTCATCCTTATGCAAGGTAGGAATCACTCGTAGATCTTATTATACACAGTTGAAAAGTGCCCATCTGAAGAACTAACGTCGAAAACACCCAGGAATAATGGTCCAGCGTGTGTGCGCCATATGTGGACCACTCGCCAAGTTGAAATTGACTATCAAAGTCTTATACGCGATTGAAGCTGTGGTCTTGGTTGTGTGTCAATTTCTTGCTACTGGCCCTGGAAATTCCTCAGGTAGGCGTTATGCTGCGAATTTCTTCCGCTCTGTAATCTACGTTCTTAGGTGGCTACGAAACCATGACGGCTACTACTATGTCTGTGAATTTGCTTCCTCCGCCGTGGGAGACATGTATGCCGACATCAGTGTAGCCATGGTGTTCGAGACGATTTTGGTAGCTGTGGTACTGTTTTTCTCTTTTAGACACATCCAAGAGGCTAGAAAGATGTCCCATCATAACCTTTCTTGGGGTGGTGTTCGAGAAGTCATATACAGGGACAACATACTGTATTTTATTTTGTATGTGATTTACCTCAGCAAAGCGACACGGTTTAAATTCACACCTTAGGACGCTCGGATCTAATATCCTCGATCTCTTGGTGATTTCCCCAAAGTGGCCCTTTGGGATGAGCACACGCGGAAGTGCTTTGTTCAACGGTTTCATGCTCCTATTCGCTTCACTTCAGACCAATGTCTGGACGCCACGCATCGTACTCCAAACACGTGCCCACTACGACCGCCGCTGCATTAACATCGATGGAGAATACCAGGAGAATGGCAGAACAACTGGCGAAGAGACTCAAGTAGAAACCATGATCTTTGCCGCGGCGGCCCCTGCCGTGTCCGTGACCTAGCTTTGCGAGCGCAGATTTGAAGCCTCATGTTGAGGGTATGTCTATATGGTTGGCACTGTGCTAAAGAACAGATATCACAGAGTCATGGAGCAGTTATGCACAAGCGGTTGTTTACCCTATTCCTAAGATTGTTCTCAGTAGTCCGGAGGCGATGTAGTTCAGAATGATCTTGACACACCGCTCTTATATTACCCTCCTACCTGTATATAAGCTTTCTTCGCTAGCTCCGTTGCATCTACACAAAGCCTAGACATCATTCCCAGCAGACGGACAGCTATCTTGCATGTTCCACACGCGGGTTTGTGATAGTATATATAAATGATACAACAAATTGCATACATACTCACGGTAATTATGCAAAGAAACAGCCAACTCTCCGAAGTATGCTTTCTCAAACACGTGGAATGTTACACTGCGACGCCCAACTGAGAGTTCTCCGACACCGGCGACACGACGTCGTCTAGCTCCAGATACGACCCATTCCCATGTTCCCCTGCATCCCACGAATTCCAGTACGGCATCGTACTCTTCGAAGTCGCAGGCGAGAAAGTGGACGCATACGGATCGCTGCCCTTGCGCGCGACCCCTGCAGGGGAAGATGCCCACTGGTTGTGCGACGGCGGGCGGCGAGATCCATAAGTAGCAGACGGTGGTGGGAGATCAGAGGCAGGGAACGAGTCGAGCGTTTGCGGACGGTAGTTGTAGGCACGGAAGCTAAGCACGAGGCGGCTGCCGAGGATGATGGAGGCAACAGTCAGGAAGGAGTTGAGGACTTCCGCGTACGTGAACTAAGAATAGAGCGAGGGGAGGAGAAGCGTTGTCATTTCACAATGAGCGCGGGATAAAACAAGGGGAAGATGAAGAGTTCGCCGCTCACAGGAAGACCCAGGTACATCCCCACAGCCACCGCGCACGCGACGAAGTACCTGTGTGTGCACATCACCGAAGCCGTGTCAGCGCTCACACCCATCGCCGCCCGAAGATCTAGAGCAGGAACTGGAAACTCACACGAAGAAGTAAGCGATGCTCGACTGCATCAGCAAGTTCACCGTCGCGTTCAGCCTCGCGCCCCGCTCGAAGCCCTGCCTCCGCCCCGCACCGTACTTGCGTACTAGCGCAACGAGCGCAAGCATGAACATCACCGCCTCGTACCCGAACAGGGGCACATACACCGCCGTGAGCAGGCGCTCGTCGCTCGTCGCCGCGCACATACGTAGATTCAGGGTTGGTAACAGCAGAGAGATTTCGGGCGGCAGGGGCGAGTTGGTATATGCCATCGTGCGGACGTAGAGGATGAGCACGGCCACTATTCCGCCAATCTCGGCGATCAGGAGGGGCAGGATGAATGCGAGGAGCTTTTTAGATTTGCCGAACATGGCGTAGAGCCGGAGTTGCATGATCACTGTGCGTTTGACAGTGGTATGTGAGATGGGCGAGCATAGAGTTAGCTTTCAATGGGTGAGAAGAAGGAGAAATGACATGATGCGTACGCTGTGTTGCCCAGACTGTTATGAAGGGACCCCAAATTGATATTTGCAGGAAATCGCGGCATAGCTGGTGAGGGGACGATAAGAACCCCTCGAATAGGTTAATGCGGAGAAAGGAGACGTACGTCCACCGAAAAGAATGTGTTGACATAGACTACATATAAAGTGAGTTAGGTTCTCTCCGGAAAACCACTAACTTCGTACGAATGGCATCCAGTCTGGTACACACTTTAGCCCGATTTCAAGAGACCGGTGGGAGGAACAGAGGAACATACATGACGAGTATATCACCGACATATCGGTTCTGTTCCATGTCCTTGCATGAGCCACGCACAGGTCGCACAGGTCGGAAAGATGATCGGACGAACTATGTAGTATAGTAGAGACACCAAAGAGAATGGTTTGTTCTAAGACAGGCTAGCATACGTCGTATCCTGATCGCGTTGAGTAGCTTACCCAGACCAAGCGAATCTATGAGTGATGTTCCGCACGTTCAGAACACACTGACAAAACCCAGCATATACTAGCCTACCTCCTCGTCTAGAGTGAGAGCTGAAAGACGATTAAATGGCGAGACGACATAATCTAGGACGAACTCACCATGATCATAGATAGCAAGGACGGCAGCGGCAACTACCCCAAGACGACGCGAGGTCAACTTCAGTCAAATTACTGTATGCAAATCAGGGAAATACCTTGGCTGAACTTGCTGGCCTGCAATATACTGATAGTGCCAAACAACGCTTCCAAAACGCCTTGCACTTGGGCCGAGTCCATCCTAAAACCGCGAGAACCCAAACGTTGCTAGCAACGGTAGGTGAGCGGAGAACACGAACAGTTCATGAGCGATAAGGGATTTACATATGTAGTCCGAGTCGGAGACAATAATGTCGCCATATATGAATGAGGGGCCAAATAGAGGCAGAGACGTCTGAGAGTACACGCTACAGCGCATCAGAACTGCATGTGCTCCGACGAAGATGCGGGGCCTGGGGACGGAATAAGTCCAGCGATACTTCATTTAGAATGTATCTTCGAACAGCCTTCCTGTTGAGGAAGCATCGGAGGGTGATCAGCTTGACCGTAGACCATAACTGGGCAGTGTGTGACCTGATATGATGATGTCGTGTCATGGGCGAGGCTAAGGCTGATAGACACCTTGATCGTGAGATGTCAGGCGATGTAGTGGGTTCCCCTGTTGTGAGACGCTGGCTACCCCTCAACCAACAGCTCCGATCTGCATCTTTCCGTTGTGCGAGGCGTTGCGAAGTAGACGGAAAGCGGCAAGCCGTATTCATAGTGCATCTGGGCTTGACAAGTCGTTCCTCGAACCTTTTCATGGTGAAGGGGAAGCGGCCTGACCCCTGGCAGCAGACACACGGTACCGAGAACCGGGGGATGATGACCCAGGAAGAGGGTGTGGGGCATGTGAGCACGAGGAGATGATTGGTGGTTTGACTTTGTGTGCACATGCTCGTTGGAGACCTTGGATTTGAATGTATGTCGGAGAGTGACACAATGCGCAGTCATCCTCGTGGCTGCTGTCGTAGGCATAGTATCTGACGTGGGGTAATGACTTTTGAGTATCTCGTCCACATTGCTGTCAAAAGGTTGTTGGTCGAGGGTACAAAAGCCACTAGGCGCGAGGATGCGGCAGCTGCGGGGGCTGAGCGCTGAGGCAGAACAGCCGGGCCGACGAAAAGCGCCCGACGGCGTCTATTTCCCGCAAATGCAGTGCCCCCGTCGCGTTCACGTCGCCCTACACGACCCCGACACGCACTCACGACGTTCTGGCTATACCTCCACGAGCTTGGATGACTCCCTTTGGTCCTTCATCATAATATCGCTCCAAGGATAACGAACAATCCCTTGAACACGCAGCTTGCTTGAACACGTAGCTCTCGGTGAAGACTGGTTGTGCCGGAGTCCGCGTGAGATCACGTATTGCTGTGACGACCTCGACACTGTGTGTTCCTCCATATCCCCTGTTTCTTTTCTCTTTCTGAAACGTTCGTCAAGATTACGAGTTTTCTACCTGCAAGTACACGACACCGGGGACGCGGGCGCCGCCTCCTCGAATCCATTTCGCTGACAAACCTCACGCCCCCAAGGTCCCAAGACATGTCACCACGAGGTTCATACGAAGCCCTCCCCGTTTATGAAGCACAAGAAAACTACGAATACCCGCCTTCAACATACCCATCTCCGCGTCGGCGACGCATCTCCTCCCACCCCTTCCTTCGCTTCCTTCCTTGCTTCTGGAGACGTCCACGTTCATGGCGCGGCCTCGCCTGTCTCATCATTTTCCTCCTAGGCTCTGCCGCCTTCATCCTCCATCTCGTCTGGAGCTGGTATGAGCCCCACTTCCACGTCGACCTCGTCATGTACGACCGTGCGTGGATCCAGAACGAGCTGCTCCCGCTTTCTCCCCTCGCCGGGTGTTTCGAGGAGGGCTCACCCGCGCACGCGTCTCTCAAAGGCGAATACAACGTGACAGATGCGCTTTGGGGGTCTAGGACATACGAGGTGCAGGGAGGTCTCTCGATGCGCCTTGGTATGGACTGCTATGAGATGGCAGGGACTGTTGGTGGCGGATCAGAGCAGACACGCCCTGCAGGGAGGATACCCCCGGACGAGCGGAGACAGTTCCACACGTATTGGCGTAACGACCTCGCTGCTTTCGGGCCTCGCCAAGAGCAGATGCTCCGCTCATTTTTCGCAACGCAAGACGTGGACAATTCACGCCTTATCATGTGGTCGAATGGTCCAGGGCTCGAGAAGAACGAGGTCATCAAGCGGTACATGGCCACATTCCCCGATAGTCTTATCCTACGCATCGTTGATATTCCGGATCTATCGCGAGGGACTGCGATGGAGAACAGCCCGTTGCTCAATCTCGAAGACGCGAAGGCGTGGGTCGACGGAGACCTCGTCCGCCTCCTGGTGATCTGGGAGCTCGGCGGGACATGGGTCGACATGGACATGCTCCTCACGCGCGACCTCGCCCCGCTTCTTGAGCACGAATTCGTCACACAATGGGACTGCTGGGGTGCGTACCACCCGCTCTCCCACCCTTTTCTTGTTCGCTAACCGCATATACCCACCAGACAAACCCTTCCAAGCGCTCAACGGCGCACTCATGCACTTCCGCAAACACTCGGGCTACCTCTGCGAAGCCTTCCACCTCATGGCGAACTCGACCCCGCCCCGCTCGCCGTCCACCGACTGGGGCGCGATCCTCTATCTCCGTCTGCACCGGCGCCTGCTCGCCGCGGGCGTCCCGCCCTTCAAGGTCCTGCCCTCGTGCTTCGCTGACCCGCTCGCGTGCCGACTTGACAACGGCGCGCCGGACCCTTTCGAGCCTGATCGCTCGGACGGGCGCTGGCTCGGCTGGGTATGGGGCAGCGGGAGCCAGCTCGGGACGTGGGCGGGCAAGGGGCTGTGGGGTGGTAAGGCGGGGACGACGTACGTCGACGACCTAGGTGCGGAGGCGATTGGAATGGGCGACGGAAGCGGGATTGGGAGCGGACAGGGCAAGGCGGGTGTGGATCAGTATGATCGGCCGTATGCGAGCGGTGGTGGGCTAGAGGAGGGAGGGGCTTTGGACAGGGCGATGCACAAGATATTTGCGCTGCACTTGCACAACAGATGGGGGAAGCCCTTCCCGAAGAATGGGTGGATCGAGAGACTGCTGCTGAAGAAGTACGATAAGACCCTGGAGGGGAAGATACCGCAGGAGTTATAGGTTTACTTTCTCCATACAGTGCGTTATCAACATAGATGTCGGGTCGCTCACCGTATGTCATCTGGGCTGTGCGTGCTATAACATGGGTCATTTCCTTGCTGCTTGCATGAGATGTCAGACAACAGTTTATGCTGTCAGGTCATTTGCTCCGACTGGTTGGGAATAGCTTGGGGCGCAAGCCGGGCCTTCACTGCGTGGAATGATCGATTGATCAATGATCACAGATGCCTCGATAAGTCCACTGCTGTTCAGCACGATCATCAAGTGCTAGCCTTGGCGTGATATCAATGTACTCACCTTGTTTCGCACTGTAGCGGGCTTCATTAGGAGGAGATCTCAAAAATGAACGAACGGTTACCCGAAAGTGGGATAAAATCTTGTTTACATGCTTCTGCCAGTGAGTCGCCGCGCATGCTTGAGCTCCTGGTACTACTAGTCACCGCTTCACAGACGATTTTCGAGGCGACCAGTGGTCCAAAGGCATTTGGACCTTAGGATGGTCGCCCATCAGTCGAGACATGTATTTAACGGTCGTTACCATCAATCATCGGCCAAAAAGCAAACAGCTCTCATTCATACTAACAGATGCGTACCATTCGGATGAGGTGCACCGCCTTCTGATGCTGACCATCCTAGGCCTTATCGAACAGGAATAGATGATCATGCAGTAGTCCGTCCTTGCATTACCGATGCGTTTGTCGGCAAGCGCAGCCCGTTATTTAAATAGCGCTTGGTGCGTCCTCATAAGCGGCGTCTGCCAGTGCATGTGACTGCGCAATCACTTTCTCTCCTCGCCGACTTAAGCTCTCTCAGCGCTGCCCCTACCCGTCATATCCAACCATCTGTCGAAATCAATGTCAACAAACACGAAAGCGATCATAGAGAATGACATAGAAAACGCCGTGGCCAATCATGTTCTAAGTTACAGTGTAGGGAAGTGATTCCAGCCATCCACACTTATGCGATTTGGGGCTTATACCGTACACTCTACAGTCGCTCTTCATGCTTTGACAGTTTGGGATTGTTGTGCGTACTGCCATGTCCATTCTGAAATACTGAATATCAAAGTCTGTGCCAGTTATCCACATGGACCTGGAGGTAACAAAAATAGCATTGTGTATCCATGAACCGTGACGTGCATTGATGCACTAGATGTTACACTCAAGGTCGACCTTATCTGGGTGAGCACAATTATTGAAGGCTCAGTGAACACGCCAGCTGACATTTGCACTAGTCAAGAAAGCTTTCACTCACATCTGTCTTATACGGCCTGGTCAGTTATGTGACACCTTCTCCTGTACGAGTCGAGGATCTCTCATCCTCTTGATGGTTAGCTGCGCTATTTAGCTATAGCATTTTCTTTGTAAGTTTAATGGTATGAGTATTTGATACACCAACTGAATCCAATGGTAGGCTCGATTTATGTGCGTATTTTTCGTGCATTTTTGAACCTTGTACAACCTCAGCTTCTATAGTGTATAATTTGCCGCTGCCGTTATCAAACGAAGTGCGTGACATGATTATTATACTTTTATTGGATGACTCCAATAATCTCCTTGAAGGAGTGAGTGCCAGCAATATTCATACAACATTGTCGTGGATAAAGTAATTAATGGATATGATGCATAGGTGTGAGTATGTGCAATCGGCACCCGTACTTAACAGGCTAATAGATTGGGTTGCAGGCTACGTGATGTCAGCTTTTTACGAATCGGGTACTTCCATCCTGGTGTCCATTCTTCAAGGTATGTTACACAGTGTATGTGAGGATATCAGCTACTTAGTATAGTTCGCGCTGAGGCATGATGGTTATCCGGGTACACGCACTTCTTGGCAACTCAAAAAAGGTCCTTTTTCTCCTTGTTCCGTGCTTTGTGGTCGCACAGTGTCTGTGCTTTACCACATGGATCTCGATTCTGTCGGTCGGCCGCACATTAACAGGTTCCTGCTTCCTCCTGTAACGATTCCTTAGACTGACCGCCTTCAACAGAGGAAGCTCAGATTGCTGGTGCTTGGGTATGCTTGATGAACATCCCGCAACGGCTTGGATGGCACGGCCCACTTGGCGCTGCAGCCGCATTGAGCTTGGAGATAGTATTAAACATTCAGATCGTGCGTTATGTCGCGAAGAACCTAAGCAAGAACGTCCGCCGATCAGCCATTGATTCGACAAAGGGAATAGCAGGAGTACTCATCCGAGATAACTTGCTTTATTTCTTTGCGTATGTTTATCTCCCTTTCTCAAGATCCATCGCTGTCTTATAATTCATATATTCTTAGGGTAACCGCAGGAATATCCATGACTTTCTTCAACCAACTACGCACATTCCATACGGTATGGGTTTCTCACCTTCGTGTCTGAGTTATCATTGATGCGCTTGCAAAGTTCAATGTAGGAACTCTCGTATACGAATCCGCAAGCCACATATTACAATCGCTAGTTGCCTACATTGTGGGCCCGTGGATGATACTTAGCTTGCGTCAACACCACGAACACGGATGTGGAGGCACGGAGTCTAACGTCGTGAGTTCCGTGCGATTTACAAGTGTACCGCAATCCAGTACAATCAGTGATGTTTAGACGTTTGGTATCGGACCTTAATCAAGGATTGCAATATGTATACTGTACCTACTACATGACCGTAGGTTCGTCACGCCTCACGCTTGACCCGTAAAATGAACTTGAGATCTGGTTCGTCACCCATCACAAGAGGTAACGAGCCTCACCGCGTGACGAAAGACAATAAGCTTCTTATATTCTGTAGTAGAGTCGTTCACTGCAGCTAGTCGGTTGGGTGCGTTCCTTGTACTGTGAATATGAGTTTTATGAGACACTTACCACGATCATAATCGACCGGAGATGGGATGTATAGCTCCCCACTGGCAGGCTTCGATGAGTCATTCATGCCGGTTGCGAGGGCTTGAGAGGCGTATGCATAAGCCCGATCCGAGACGAGGCCTTGGAACACAGGCATTGATGTAGTAGAGGTGTGTCCGTGTTGCCTCCTTCTCGGCCTTCCAATGAAACCCTCTTCACCTTCGCTGTCCATGGCAGTGATGTCTTAATAATGCGCACCAGTCTATGGCGATAGTTCAAAATCACGCGTTCGCCAGACAAATATTTGAACTTCGGTCTTATCGAAACTTATTTTCACGCGAAAATCCTAAGTTGAACCTACGGTCATGTAGGTACAGTATAAGTAATGTGAAGCATATACCTGTAAATTAAAACAACATGGTTTGGGGAGGTGCAAGTGCTGGGAAAGGCCAAATATTCCTCCAAGACCCATGGCGGTAGTCCACACGTTTCTCCGCTTTGGTGTGCAATATCAATCCGTAATTTAGCCGCCCATCTATATACATTGTTGAGCTTGAAACTTGAAGCATTGTGATCAACATCGCACACCCGTGCCTTTTGTCATCAAGCATGCGGCCACCGGGCACCGTGCTATCAAATCCGTTCGCATTGGACGTTTCACCTATTTCAAGCAATTGTTCTGATCGGCAGGATTCTGGCAGAAAAATAAAACATTAGTTGGCGGGGTTTTGTACCCGAATGCATCTCCAATCAAATTTCCTGCGGGCAAGGATAGTACCAGCGGAAGTAACCATTGACCTCCTACTACTCCACTTGCCGAACAATGAGAGACAGAGAGCAAATGTTAATTAGCATGCACTATAAACAAAAACCATACGCTACGCTCTATACCTCCACCTCACGTCCACGCAGCCCCCAGAAACTACGCCTTCACCTGCAAACTCTCCTCCGTCTTCCCATACGCATCGCGGATCCTCCACCCCTCATCATACCACCCCACCTTCTCCAGAATCCAATACTCCGCAACCCTCACCGGCACCGGCTTCGCGTCCGCCGGCCCGCTCATCACCTGCGTCGGCCGCACACTCGCAAAGATGTTCGCGCTGCCCGCCGTCCACACGTCCGACTCCTTGTTCTTATTCTTATTCTTGTTCTTACTGGCGGAAGAGGAGGAAGAGGAGGGAAGACCGGACTTCCCGATGAGGATGCCGCGGCGGTTGTAGATCTGCAGCGACTGCGAGGACTCGATCTTGACGAGCGCGTGCACGAGCAGGCGGTTGCCGAGGCGCGGGTCCGATGTCGCGTGGTTGCCCTCGGTCGCGCGCACGGAGAGGATCGTCGCGCTCGGCGGGCGGACGCCGGGCGTGTCGGAGGGGGAGTCGGATGAGGAGGCTGTAGATGGGGCGTCGGGCGTGGTGTGCCGTTGCCAGGCGTAGATGTGCGCCGGGTCGCGCGCTTTGAGCGTTCGGGCGAGCTTGGCGTGCGCTTCGACGGTGGTGCTGTAGCGCAGCTCACGGATGCCGTTGCTGGAGGGAGAGGCGTGGGCGTGTTAGCGCTGCCCGACGGGGCGGGTCGTGTTGTGAGGATGGATGGGTATGTGTGCGTACTCAGCGTAGCTTGTCCACATCTGCGAGTGCAGGTCGAGTGCGACCTGGCGGAGGGGCGAGAGCCACCCGTTTTCACTGTTCCAGCCTCTGGGGCCGAATTGGCGCCAGTTGCTTGGGTTGAAGAGTTTGCTGACCCCGAAAGGTGAAGGAACAGTGACGCCCCCGGGGAAAGCGTTCTGTTGTGCTATGGCGTAGATGCTACATTTAGAGTAAGACGCCGTTTGTGTATGCTCGTAAGACGAAGGCAAGCAAAGCATCACCGACCTGAACGCACTCTTGATAGCGTTTGAGGTGTTGAAGCCCAAGTTACTCGCAAGAGAACTTGGAGAGGACCAAACGGGGGCATACTCCATGCGTGCCTCCACATCTGTTTGAGATGAGTTGTTAGTATCCGCTTCGTTCACTCACTGGAGAGGCAGCGGGTGAATGCGAAGAGCGGAATAGGACGTACCCAAAACCTGAGGACTTCGAAGGCCCCAGAAATCAGTCGTGTTCATGAGATGCTCAGAGCGCAGCGTCTTTTCCATCCGCTCGATGCCGATCTGCTCCTTGGACTTGGTAGGTTTGGCATTGGCCGCAGAGCCGGACGCGCTCGCAGCCGCAGGCTTCGCATTCGTGTTGAGCTTTTGCTTGGCGGCCGACTCGGTGGCGGAGGTAACCTTGGCTGGGCGAGGCTTGGTCGTGGACGTGGTCTTGGGTGTTGAAGGCGGGTGGGGAGGGTGAGGGTTGCCCTTGGGGGATGCAGTGGGGCGCGCAGACTTTTGTGCGGCGTATGTGCGCGTCTGAACGTGGATGAGGACGAGGCGGCCTGGTGTTGAGCACGCGAGGGGGCGGAAACCTGCGGCTACTGAGGAGAGCATGGCGGGCTACGCGCTCTGGGCACCGGGGGAGGACGTGGGCGTCGGGCGCGTCGGTGACAATGGACAGACACAAAAATGACGCGCCGCTGAACGGTCTTCGGAGCGGACGGGGACTTGGATCGTGGGAACTGAAGTCTGGGCCGGAGGGACACGTGAGTGCACTGCCACTGTCCGAGGCACACACGCAAGTGGTTCGGCGCGGTCGGATATATAAGGGAGGCGCTCGGACACAAAATTCGCTCAGCCAAGTTCCCTTGCTCACCAATCCCAACATCCACTGTCATGCCTGTGAGTTCTCTTCCTCGTCTCTCCCCGTCCCAAGCCTCAATGCATAATGTCTGCTAGCGCTCTTCTCGTTCCTCCCGTCCCGCGCCTGCACGCTCCGCACCTGCTCCCCAGCAGACTCGCGGTGCCCACACCGCCGCCATGCCCGCCAACGCCCCACCGCACAACCCCGCACACGCGCCCGCACCTCCCGCTGCTGCAGCACAGAGCAGCGGCCCTGGAATGCTCGGCCAGATGGCTGCCACGGCTGGCTCCGTCGCGATTGGCTCGACCATCGGTCACGGCCTCTCCAGCATGCTCTTCGGTGGCTCCTCCTCGTCTGCCCCCGTTGAGCAGCAGGCCCCGCCCGTGCAACAGCAACAGCAGACGTGGGGCTCGGGCGCCGCTTGTGAGATCCAGGCAAAGGAGTTCACCAAGTGCCTCGACAAGGCCGATCTGCCGAGCTGCTCGTGGTACCTTGAGCAACTCAAGGCTGTGAGTTTACTTCCTCATGTCATGCTTCAAATTTCTGATGTCTTCCTTCAGTGCCAGGCCGCTGCTGCTCAGTACTAAGAAGTTGCGGCGATATCATACTTGCATCATCTCAGGGATTTATGTCCTTCATATTCTATAATGTGTAGACGCGATTGCATGGCATTCATGGAAGCTTCTAGAAGCTTGTTATCCTCACTCCATCCTCGTGAGCTTGGCCATCGCGCCAATTATCGACATGAACGTGTGTCATAACACCACCTCGGTGTAAGAACGCTACCTGTTCTCGGTACCTAGTATACTCTGGGCTGTGTTTGACATGAGCCTTGAACGAGTTCTGAATGCTTGATGCATGAGTTTGTCTTCGCATTGAGATGTATTTTCTGCACGAAAGAAGGCGTTGTTATTTGCGCCTATTGAATTCTAAAGCCGCCGCCAAACAACACCAACGCGTCCATCGAAACCAGACGCGTTCCCCTCCAGTCACGTCGACGCCCCTTAAGAGATACAATCACCAACATCTTCCCTCAACGTGCCATGACGACACCAAAGACCAAGAAAATCGACGGCTTTAGCTCAACGCAGCGTGCTGGATCAGGTAGCGCGACTAAGAAGCCCAAATTGCGCACTGTGAAGTTCGATATTGGCTCAGACTCGGACCAGCCGCCGGCAAAGAGGCGAAAGGCGTCGGGAGTGAGTGCGCTTCCTCATGCCCGCCAATCTTTATCTGTTTCCCTCGGCTTGAGTGTATGAACGTCCGTTCTTATGAGCTGATCCAGCCTTCTCCCCTTGCGTTGTATGCATCTAGTTCTCGCGAACGCCCGTGTTTGATCTCTCCAGTTCGCAGATGCCCCAGTCATCCCAGAACAAACTGATCTCCAAGGGATCATCTTTGTCCAAGCCGAGGGAGAAGGACGTCAAAGGGAAGGGAAAGGCCAAGGCTGCGCCGGCGCCCGCCCCCAAGTCCTCTGTGATCGTCGTACATGACAGCGACTCCGCCACAGAGTCGGAAGAGGACATGGGCGCAGTCGCCGTAGAAAAGGGGAAGAGACCTGCTGCTGCTGCTGCTGCTGCCAGCAGCGGCAGCCGTAAGGAGGTCAGGGGGTATGAGGACGAAGAGGAGGACGACCAGCTCTGGGTGGACAAGTATCAGCCGACATGCGAGGTACGTCCATGTGCTACGCGTCGATGCGTCCCTTTCCGCCAGAGTCGCAGCCCAGCTGACTTTCCTATGGCGTGACGCGTTGCCTGGCCCTTGTCGCGCGTGAAACAGGCAGACCTCGCAGTACACAAGCGCAAAGTCGAGGACGTGCGGCGCTGGCTCGAGGAGGCGTTCGAGGGCGGGCCGAGCGGGAAGCTGCGCAAGTATAGGGTACGTTCACTCGTATTCGTTTTCTTTCTCTGCGTTTTACCCTCCTTAATCGTGCACCTTCATTCCCCCACCTCAACTCAACCTTTCTTGCGCATGCGTTGCAAATCTGCTGACACGCGCGGTCAATAGAGGATTCTGGCGCTAACGGGACCGGCTGGGACAGCCAAGACCGCGACGCTGCGCGTCCTCGCGCGCGAGATGGGCTTCGAGATCGTCGAGTGGCGGAATGGAGCGAACGAGCGCCCGTGGACCGCCAACTCCATGAACATAGATGGGGATGTAGACGCTGGTGCGTTTGCAATGATGTACATATCCAACTTACGATACTGATCAGCCCTTCTGGGACAGACGACCTCCCGGCCTTGGTCGACACCGAGTCGACCATGGACAAGTTCGAGGCGTTTCTCCTCCGCGCGTCCGCGTGCAGCAACATATTCTCCGCTGCGCCGTCCTCCTCGACTCCTGCTGTGTCTTCTGCTTCTACGTCCACATCCGCTGCTCCTCTTGCGTCTGTGGCGTCTACGTCCTCACGTCCCGCCCGACGCACGCTCATCCTCCTCGAAGACCTCCCCAACGTCCTGCACGCGCCCACGCAGGCGCGGCTGCGCACCGCCCTCGCTGCCTTCGCCTCCCCTTCCTCCAATAACAACACACCCGGTCCACCGCTCGCGCTCGTCATCTCCGACTCGGGCGCCGGCACCGGCGCGGGCGACACGGCGGAGTGGGACACGACCGGCGGGCGGTACGCGGCGTGGAGCAGGGGCAGGAGGGAGGTTGTGGATGTGCGGAGTGTGCTTGGGCCGGAGGTGTTGGGGATGCCGGGGGTGATGCAGGTTGCGTTTAATCCGGTTGCGAAGACGATTATGGGGAGGGCGCTTGTCGGGCTTGTGGGAAGGCATTTTGACGGTGCTGGGCGAGGTTCTGGGATGGGCGTGGGGACGGGGCTGTCGCAGGAGTTGTCGCGGTCGTCGATATCGAATTCGCAGCGCTCGCTGGGAGGAAAGGGAAAAGGAAAGTCGAGGCAGAAACAGAAGCAGAAGGGCAAGAAGCCCTCGCGCGAGGTCCTCGATCTCATCGTCGAGTCGGCCAACGGGGACATTCGGAGCGCGATCATGGCGCTCCAGTTTGCGTGCCTCGTCGAGCTCCCTGGGTCTTCTTCCTCCGCTGCTACGGGCGGCTCGTCGAGGAAGGGCCCGAACAAGGGCGGGACTGGCAACGCGGCGGCAAAAGCAGCAGGGGGAGGGACGTCGGCGCGCGCGGTGCTGGAGGCGGTGACGCGCCGCGAGCAGAGTTTGGTGTTGTTCCATTTGATGGGGAAGGTGTTGTACAATAAACGTACGTCGTGCCTGTCTTCGTCTCCCTAACCACACAAACTGACTAAACGTCCCCTTATTCTTCTTGGTCGAATAGGCAAAGGCGACCCTCCATCCTCGCATCTCTCCGCTAAAGACGCGTCCAAGGAGCGTGCATTAGATGCTGCGCTCCCGGACGAGCCAGCGCTCCCGTCGTGGCTCGTGGAGGAGCACGGGAGACGGCGGAGCCGCGTGGATGTCGAGCAGCTCGCGGCGGACGCGCCGATCGACGCGGGGATGTTGGCGCTGTACGTGCACCAGAACTACACGCTGTTCTGCGACGATGTTGACCAGTGCGGGGCGGTGCTCGAGGGGCTGAGCTGGGGGGATTGGGTCGGCGGGGTGAGTTACTCCTTGTCCTTCTCCCCCTCCTCCTTCCTTCCCTTTCCTTTCCTTTCCTCCCCACCGCTTCGCACTTGCTATTAGGCAGGGAACAAAATAGAACAGAACAGAGAAGGCTGACGTGCGGACGATGGTGTACAGAGCTTCCCCTCGAATCCATACGCGTTCCCCACCGTCGCGCGCTCGACGCTGCACGCGCTCCCGTCGCCTGTGACGAGGCGCGGGCAGAAGGTGTGCAAGCCCGCGTGGTTCGCCGCGCGCACGGCCGAGCTCGACGCCGCGGCGGGCGTCGGAGACGTCGTTTCGTGGCTCGCACGGCGTCGGAATCCAGGCACATCAGCATCGTCTTTGCTATCGTCCTCTTCTTCTTCTGGGCCAAACGCAGAAGCAGAGACAGAGGACGAACGGGGCGACGGCAGCACCGGCGGCTGGGGCCGCTGGGCGTGCGCCGAGGTCGCGACGGAGCTCGGCGGGTGGCTCGGTGCCGCGGAGCGCTGCTTCTCGGCGTCTCAGTCCGCCGCGAGGGGGGATATGAAGCTGCCGAGGACCCATAGACTCTTCTCGTCGCTCCCGTGGACGGAGGGTGGGCTTGGCGGAGAGATGCTCGGCGAGGATGAGGATGGGGTGGACCAGGCGTTTGAGGAGGACGAGGGGACGGGGTGGCTGGGTGCAGGTCTGGACGAGGAAGAAGAGACGAAGGGCTGGTTGGACGACGATGATATAGAGGAGGAGGAGACGTAGTGCTTGAACATCTGAGGGGTGTTATGATTTTGTTGTTACCGCTCAGTGTTTTACATGTTGCACCTCGAATGGGTCCAATCAAAGGTTTGCCACCACAATTTCGCAGCGACACTCGAGCTATCCTTTCGGGAAACTAGCGATTTACCTTGCAAAAATTAGGGCACAAAGCTTCAAATAAAGCCTCAAACAGTAATCACATTGCCTGTGAGACTACATAAAACATCAAGTTCGTTATACTACTACTCAAGTCCATTTAGTCTCAGGAAAGAGACAGTGCCACCAAAGAACGGGGTCATTCCGAGCGCCGAAGCCCTCGAACGAAGTCCATGCGTAAATCATGTGAATAAATGGAAAAAAAAAGTAAAGAAGAATGTCCAGACTCGTAACAAGTCATGTACGTAAAAAGAAAACAAATATTTTTGATGCTTCGTATCTGTGGCAAGGTGCACACCATCGTGTATCTTCAAGTCCCGTGCTAGGCTTTTCACAACAACTCATGGCCGAAGACGAGGAAGCCCGGGTGGAAGAAGTTGAGCGCGTAGATGGCGAGGACGACCATGCACGCGTCGAACGCGACAAAGTACGCCTGCGTCAGGATGATGACGCCGTGCCACCCGTCCGCGAGCTCGCATGTCCGGTAGACAGCCCTACATGGTCCCCGCGGTTGCTCGTTAGCTCCAAGGTCAAGAAGCGCGAGGAAGGGAGGAGGGGACGTACCGGATGAGGAGGACAAACGTGCTGAACGCAACGGCGTAGATCATGAGCAGCGTACGCGGGTGCTCAGAGAGCGCGTACGCGTCGGCGCCGAGTTTCTCGTCCGCCGACGGGGTGCGCACGGGCGAGTCTTTGAAGTAGCGGTAGAAGACCTCGGAGACGAGGAGGGTGAAGACGATCATGAAGGCTATTGTTTTCGTTATATAAGCTTCATGGTGAATATGCTGTGGGAGCAAGGATGAGCTTACCGAGCTGGAGACAGATGCCACCAAGCATGATGTTGCTACCCTAAAGAGCACGAGTCAGTACCCAGTCGAGCATGTTTGGTGGGAGGATGGAACATACCAGTTTCGAGACAGACGTCGTATCAGCGCCAGCGGCGATGGCACCACCAGCCGCTTGGATAATGAACGCGATGACATCCTGGAACACATTGAGAATTTGTTTGCCCATAGCTTTGCAAACAGAGGTTGCCTACCAGAGAGCAGAAGAAACGAAGGTCTGCACGCATAAATAAGCTACAACCGTTACATGGCAACAGGGAGAGGAGCAGACGTACAAGCCTTAGGACTGAGCCTGCTGTACCGAGGGCCCAGCAGCCGAATGATCTTCTCGATGATGATAAAGTTGGCCGCAGTGAGGGGGATAGGAGCAACAATGGTAGTAACAATTCTACAAAGACCGTTGAGTGACACATTGGCGGAAGACAATTGAAAATACATGACTCACTGAATAATAAATGGGTTCTCCTCCGTAAAATACCAATGAGCATAGAGACGAGCGCTCCAGCCGACGATTTCCAGAACACCCGAGAGAACGATGGTGGGCAGGAGCCACCAGAGACGGTACCGGAGGGACTGGACGATATGTACGACTAATTATGCATGCGCGTTAGCTTAGTCCAGCAGAAAAAATAACGCGAATCCATGAGTAGGGCCACTTACAGGTTGAGATCCCGAAGAGCACGATGAACACGATAGCGGCGCTCTCCCATGGGACGTAGCCGTACTCCGATTCCTCGGCGACATATGTAGCGTTGTCTCGGGCGAAGACCCGCGAAGAAGATGCAACTGTGAACGCGTTAGATACCTCAAGTCTGGGAGTATGAGCATCTGGAAAAACTCACGAGGCATTTCAGTAGATGAAGAAAGTTGAGAAGTTAAAAGGGTGCAAAAAATCTGCTGAAAAAAGGTGCTGGTGAAGGAAGATGGAACTTGAAAACAATGAGGGTATCCTCGAGTTCTCGAGCGCTATTTAAATATGTCCAGCCACTACATGACGATACCGCCTGGATGTATTGTGTCGTTGCGCAGTTCTGTGCTTGCATGCTGTCGCCGAGCAGGCACGGATTAAACTCCCCCACCCGCAGTACCAGATAGTAGAACGGAGACCCGCCGGCGCGTCAAGCCAGCCTATGTTTCGTTACCGAACATAGCCACCTAGGAACGCATCCGCAGTGGGATGGGGCGGTAGAAACTCGGAAGCGAGCTTGGCTAGCGATCAATGAGAACTCTGTGCCTCAATGAACGCGACATTCAACTTGAAGCCTGACGGCGTGCATATGCGTGGCTGCCAAGCCAGCTTCATCCAAGCCATCCCACTGCCGGCAGGGGGAAAGAAGGAAAGAGGTTGTCTGACTGCGGGCCGTCGTTCAAGTGGTGACAACAGCACAGGTTCTACGAGATAAGAGCTGTTATTGAGGTGATGTTAGTTCGACGCACAGCATGTTTGCGACGTTGGACACAGCATCGCACAGGATGGGGTGTTCCTCGGACGATACCGCAGCCAATGCTTTGATGGTGAGCATAGGCTTGCGAAAAGGTTGGTGCTGCGATCAACACTAGGTGCTGCGTTCGCGAAGGTATAGTTGATTGTCTTGAGGCTGTGTCTAGAATGTCGACTTTGGAAGAAGTTTGTGTTCGGAATCGAACCCAAGTCAACTTGACTCTTGAAGCTATTTGTGTGGCCAGAACAAGATTGGGATTGAGACTCCGAGCACAAAGGAGATATAATATATCTTAGAGCTCGAGGAATAACCGCCCGCCTAGCTCAATCGGATAGAGCGTCAGACTCTTATGACTAGGCGATCTGAAGGCTGCGAGTTCGACCCTCGCGGTGGGCTAGTGTTTTTGCTTTCTTTTGCCTAGCAAATTTTAGGGGCTTAGCGGCGCGTCTTCACAAACGTCATCTCGAGGCGCGTCCTTACTCCCTCAGCCTCCTCAAGTAAAATGTACAGACACTGCAAGACGATAACGAGCACTCTTGGACATTCACGGCGCTCTCTATGTCAGCCATCATATATTTCACTTCCACGCCTGGCTTCAGCACCTCGCATTCACCTCCAGCACCGTTTCGCTTCCACTCATGAGCAAGGCACTGAGCGACCAGACCTCCCCAAGACTCCGCGTCAGGGCGGACTCAAAGTATCCACTCTTTTTACAGGTCTGATGGTCCTTGGCATTGGCGCCCTGACATATGGGATGTAAGTGGGTTGAAGTCTTTATGATTTTGCATCCACGCGAGACTGACTCTGCTGTCGTCCAGATATGACTTCTATGCAGGTCTCAATGCTACACTCGGCAGGATCCCCAAAGAAATTCGCGACGACGTCTACGCAGGCGCGTTTGCAAAGACTAAAGGCGACCTAGGCGTTGCCGAACGCTACCTCAGCCGGTTAGTCGCGTGTCCCTAGTCCTCTCCAAACTGACACCAGCCATATTGTCATCGTCAACCTGCAGTGCCTTCGAGACCGCCCTCACCCTTCCCCCGTCCGCCTTTGGCGACAGACCCTACCTCCACTTCTGTGGCATCGCCGCCTCCCTCGCCTCCGTCCAAGCCATGCAAGGCGGTGCCGCCGCCCGACGCGCCAAACGCACGTGCGAGCGCACCTGGGCCGTCCTCGAGCCCGCCGACAGCCCAAACGCCACCGCCACCGCCACTACTGACGGGTCCACCGTGATAGCAGACCCCACCAGCGATGCGAACAAGATCGCACCCGAATGGCGGACGTACGCTGCGAGCGACGCGGAGCGCATGAAGCGCGTCGCGATCGCGTGCATGGTCGCCGAGCTCGTAGGCGAGCGCGCCGCGGGGAGCGAGGAGGAGAAGGAGGAGGAGCGATGGCTGACGTGGGCGGTCGAGGAGACGCTGAGAGTGTGCAACGCGCTCGATCCCGACTCGACTGTCGCCGCTGCCGCCGCGTCACCTGTGCCTGCGGGGCAGAGTCCAGCGACGGAGGTCCCCGCGTCGCTCAACGTGACGATGAAGCACGACCCGGACCTGACGGCGCTCTTCCCGATGAGCGATTTCGCAGCGCCGTTCGAGGCGCTCGGCTCGTACTACGCCCGCAGTGGCAACGTCCAGTGAGCACCCACCTCCCCTCCCCTCCCCTCCCCACCGCTCACACTCCACCCCGTCCAACAGATACGCATTCTCCCTATACCACCACGCCCTCGCCCTCCTCCTCCCCTCCACCGCCTCTGCCCCCGCCCCGCGCATCTTCACAGACGTCCAGCGCACCCCCGCCGACACATGCAACGCCGCACAGATCCTGAACAACATCTCCGAGCTCGTCATGCGCCAACACCCGCCGTCCCCAGAGGTGCGCGCCATGGCCGAAAAATGGGCGCGCAGCGCACACACCGTCGTCGAGCGCGGGCTGCACGCGCGCGGGAAGCCCGGGCCGCTCGTCACGTCTGGGTTTGTGCAATACGGCGGAGGGGGCGGAGGGGAGGAGGAGGAGATGGATATGACGTGCGAGAGCGTGTTTGGCGTTGTGTTGTTCAATCTGGCGACGATGCGGGAGGCAAGTCTATACCTATCGTTGCCGTTGAAAAACTGTTGATCGAACCCGTATTGCAGATGGACGGCGACAAGAACGAAGCTCGCGGGTTCTACACGCGGAGCATCGAGCAGTGCAACGCCGCTGGGATGGACGAAGGCGTGTTCAAAGGCCAAGAAGCTCTACGGAAGCTAGGACGGAGCTCGGTCAAGCCAGACAAGAAATAGTACTCTGCTTTCGTGACATAGCATCAACCTGTACTTTACCACCCACCTACTAGACACCTCCCACTAGACGACCACTCAAACTAACGCATCCGTCCAAAGCGATTTTAGTGCAAGAGAGTCGGAGCAAGACAAGAAAACACGTGGTACAATGCATGGATATTGGTATCGTATCCGACACGCAAGATGGCAGAGATCGAAAAAATCCAATGGCAAGAAAAATGAGAACAAGAAATCCTCTGCTGCGACACACCATTCGCGTCAGCCAAGAGGGCAAGAAATACAACGCAGCACCGAGCTGCGGGGGCGAAAGCGAAACAATGAAACCGTATCTGGGGTTTTTCTTTTTTCGAGCACGAGCACCGCAGCAGCACCTTCTCAAGCCGTCTTCACCCGCTGTTTACCCACAGCCTTCGCCGCCGCCGTGACACCCTCCTCGCCCGTGCATATCGACGTCGACGCGCGCTTGCGATCGTACCGCGTCTGGCTCTTGAACTCACAGATACTAAACTTGCGCATCTTGATCATCGGGCGCAAGCTGAGCCTAAACACCACGAAAAAAAAATGACGGGTGCGTCAGATTTGCCATGGTCGCGCGGACCAAACGGTCGAATATCCGTGTTCAACGCACCTGCTTAAGTGCTGGGCCTCCTCCGACAGCTCGTCCATCCCCATCCGCGTAATAGACACAGAATCGCCGCGTCGATGTCCGCGTAGCGCTGTGCCAGACGCGGACACGAGCTTGGAATCGGACGCGACATGGACGCGGTACGCCTCGCTCTCGACCCCGCCGCCGTCGCTAGTAGCCAGACAGACGGCGCGCGCGGTGAACACCACGTCAACAGCGTGCGTGCACCCCGAGCGTCTCAGAAACTCCACAAATGTGCTTAGGACATATTGCACGCCCTTGGGATCGAGCACGCCCGCGTGGGGCTCGTGCACCGTCACCGTGAGCAGGCGTAGGTTAGGCAGAGCGATGCCGGGGTCGGGGTGCATGAGGCCCACCGCGATCTTGACAAAGTTGTGTACATTTACGTGCAGCGAGCGCAGGCTGGTGTGTACCAGAAACGGTTCCGCAGATGGGGTTGAGGCTGGAGTGGTCGTCGAAGAAGAAGAAGAAAAGGGAGAGGAAAAAGACGCTGTAGCTGTTGCCAGTGGAGGCGGGCGAGGGGGCTTGCTGGAGAGGATGGCGGCAGCGGAGCCCGATTCCTTGGTCCGCGTACCGAGTGCAGAATCAAGCTTGTCGAACGTAAGATGCACCAGGTTCGGACACATCTCCAGCAGCTGCACGAGCGCCATCTCCTCGAACGCATGGTAATCCTGCGGCTCGAACCGCAGCTCCGTCACCTTGTCCCATCCGAGACCCAGGGTCCTCAAACACGCGACCTGCTCGACCGCGCACCGCAGATCAAGCTTCGGCGGGAGCATCGTCACGCCCTCGCACCCAGACAGCACCTTCAGATCCTCGAGGTCCAGCGCGAGCCTCTCAGTCACACGCGCGTGCTCAATCAGGCTCGCGAGCGCTGCATTCGTCTTCCTCCTGCCCTGCCTGTAGATCACATACAGATCCGCGCAGCGCGGCGTGAACGCAGCCATGAGCTCGCACACCTGCACATCCCAGCTCGAGATGCACCGCATCGCGCTGTCCCTCTGCTCCCTCTCGATGCCCACACTCGACCAGCACCGCGCGTCGACCGCGACCGCGAGCGGCAAGGTGCCCGCGCGCTCGAGCCACGCGCGGTACAGCGCGACATCCGTGTCCTTGGGCATGCGGCTCGATGGGCGGATATACAGCGAACACCATAGCTCGGGCGTGCTCGCAGTGGCATCGCGCCATAGACTGCACACGTGCATAAGCAGCAGTGGGACACGGCGGGCGTGCGGCTCGTGGTATCGCGTGCCCGAGAGGCAGAGGACAAAGACCTTGCGGAGGAGTTCGAGGGGTAGCATCGTGATTGGCGAGTACGTGCAGTCGTTACCGATGCTGGACCAGCCGGAAGAAGATCTAGAGGAGGGAGAGACAAACCTGACCTTGGTGCGGTCGTCCTCGAGCAGCTCGCAGAGAAGGGGTAGATTGCTCATGAGGCTGGAGATAGGAGCGCGGTTGTGTAGCGCGTTGGCGATCCCTTCGACGGCGCGGAAGGCGGGGCGGCCCGGGGATGGCATGTGGGAAGCGACGAGTTGGTGTTAGCCAAGAACGGCGAAGTGTTCGGAGGACAGCAGACACGGAGCAAGCAGAAGACGAAAGTAGGAGAGATGTTGCGCGTTTGAGCATGGGAGAGCAAGGTGACGCAGGGAGGAAAATCAGGACATGGAGGCAGCACCGAACCTCCGAGTACTGGGGATGGATATCACTATAAGTCCCAAAGAGAATTAAGAGTGACCAATATTCCACACCCAGAAGCGTCGACAGAATATTCCAACCGAGCCAAATGCCTATCTTTACCGTGGATGTCAGAAGGAAACTACGCCTTGATCCGAGGCCTAGCAACCGTATGTTCGAAAGCCACTACGGCTCAGCGGAACGAAAGCTGTCGTGCCTGTCAACCCTTTCGATGAATCGCAACGCGTCGCCGTTGGAGCTTGGAGCTTGGAGGCCAGCTTCTTCTCCTCGGGAGTGGTGTACGCGGCGTTGACGATGTCTCGCCTAACATTTTTCTTGGGGATGAGCCCCATTGCCAGACCGAGATGGCCGACTCGGTCCGCAGACCCCACAAGCAGCTAGACTCGTGACCAGTCTCCCAGACGCGTACCCAAAAGGGTAACAGGCCTGGGGGGCCTTCGCATCTGGGAGACTGGGAGATTTCGTCGACTCCCTGGCAGGGAGCCAACTGAGTTTGAAAACTGGCAGTAAAGAAGTATCAAGAAGCGTCGGAGATCAGTTAGGTAAGCCGGCATCCCCGCAGCCGATCGGGCACTTGTAGTCTCGCGTCGCGTTGCGCTCTGTACTACGCGCCGTGTCCATGAAATATCATGAGTTGTACCCTCTCCCTCCTGCGTGAACACATGATATGTTACCCTGGACTCATCCTGACTACTACCAGCCTCCTCCGTTGTCTCCACTGCTGTTATTTTAGCTGCTGTAATCATGATGAACTATACCTCTGGTTAGGCTCTGAGGAAACCAGGCTCAGGGAGCTTTTGGCTGCTCTGGCTGACATAAATACGACAGAAATTGGCCTCCACAACTCTTGGCATGATCCTGGATACTCTGCGGAAGAGTGCTGCATCAAGGCTGGGCTGGAGCGGGTCTCGAAGGCAGGAAAATCAATGACTAAAGTACTGATTATGATTCTATAAGCAAAGACTCAGATAGGCTATTGTACACCTTATTCGACTTGTTTTCTGGGCAGCCAGGTGCCTACTTTCCTCTGGAACGTGCTCGGAAATGTTCTCCAATGGAAGGCGAGGCTCGAATCTATGGTAAGAGACAAATCTATGATGCACACTGTTCTCATATCCGATTTTTTGATGGAATGTGCGGACACTCCGGACGAAGCTGGTGAGGCGGGGAATGTGTCCATTATGTCGGAAGAACTGGTCAGGGACGCAGAAGATGTTACAACAATTGCCGCTTTGAATATCCTATAAAATATGAGAGGGGGATCATGCAGAGACGAGCAGAGTGAGCACCTTCCAAAGCTCCTCACCATCCACTGGGGTCTCCTGGTTGACTTGAATCATAGGGACGCCGAAGCTATCAAACTTCAAAAACTGAAGCCAGTAAGCATGTAGTTGGATGAATCAGAGAACAACATATACAACTGTCTTGCAAAAGTTTGAGAGGCGAGGTGGCGAGTGCAATTTTCAAGAAGGGATCACCAAAGGGAATGGGAAGGATCATAATAAGCGTCAGGTTCTCAACAAAGGCGGGAGAGTGCTTGTCAAGCGATCGGCGTGCATTATCAGACAATAATTATAAGTCGATATGCTCGAATACATTCACAACATAGCGATGATAATCGGGGTAGACAATATTTGTAGGATACAGATGAGGCGGCACTTAGATGCGATGCGTCTGCGATTCAGGGGCTCAGTTCCCTTATCCGGGAGCGAACTTCTCTCGGGCCGAGGCCAAATTCAAACTCAGTTGGCTCCCTGCCAGGGAGTCGACGAAATCTCCCAGTCTCCCAGATGCGAAGGCCCCCCAGGCCTGTTACCCTTTTGGGTACGCGTCTGGGAGACTGGTCACGAGTCTAACAAGCAGCACGATTTCAGAGAGAAAGAATGTTGATGGGCAGAAGTGGCACGGAGGGAAGGAGAGGAAGGAGAGGAAGGAGAGGAAAGAGGGGATAAATTCGCACGAGTCCAAGTTCGGAAGAATCCGACGCGTGGCCGGGCTCGCGTCCGTCTTCACAATTAATTGCTTCACAACTACCAAAGATACGGCCCTCACGGGCACACCTGTATCCGAAGTTAGAGTGTCACGGTAGCCTCCGTCATGTACGCCCGGCACAGGCATTTTTTTCTTTGGTGCATTATAAAGTCTACGTTACCAGCAGCTGGCGAGCCTCCATATGATTATACTAGAGTACACAGCAAATCCGTGGCTCAGCGAACCAATCTATATGTATACAAATATATAGATAAGCAAACAGCTTTTGCATGTTATGAGGAAATTACGACGAGAGCTCCCTTCTTCGTTTCGGTGACTAGGGGAAACCCGGAGGGAACGGACTGACCGGCGGGGCTCTTACTAGCCGTCGTCGGGACCCCCTGGACAGCTGGAGCCGAGAAGGGAGGGGCAATGGGCCCATCACATGTATTAGATAGTGAACGTTGAGTATCGTCCGACATGGGGTGACTAATCCCGATGGACGCTAATGGAATCATAATAATAATAATAATAATAAGCAAACAGCTCTAATTATGGTCTAGCTGGTATATATTAAATGTAATGCAGCGGTTTGATGTGCGACCAAGCTTGGCTCTGTCTTTATCAAACCAATACAAACTACGGACAAGATATTTGAATAATAAGTGGAGATGACTACGAATACGACAACCATCCTGAAACTCGAAACTCGAAAGGAAGGCCGCTTCATCACCTGAACTGATGCCCAATTGGATGACGAGAGGTAACGGGAGTTGAATGACAAAGGGGAAGACGCCGGAACAACAGCCCGTCGATGCGGAGCGAAGTCACAAACTCCGTGCCTTGCATGATATGACCGAAAACAATGAACACTATCCCGCCAGGGCGCGAGTCAGTGATGGCAGGGGCCCATAAGTAACATAAAGTAAGTACAAGAGAAGAGATCAAACGCCAAATTTGACGAACGACAGAGACAGGGGTTACTCACCGAAACGGGGTACGGAGCAATGACGGAAAAAGGGGATGCGGACGGCGACGGCGACGGCGACGGCGACCAGACCGGGAAGACCGTAGCTTAGGCAAGACTTTCTTGTAAGTTAATATACTTACCTGTCTCCCTTCGAATCCAGGTACAGTGAATCGTTCAAAGGAAAAAAGAGTAACTTACTGACTCGTGCACAACGCATGGTGACAAGGTGAGTGCATACAAGGTATAGTGCTCCTCCGCAAAAGCAAGAAAACATCATTCTCTACGCCACACCGCCAATTCAAGGCATGGCGATGGCTCGGATAGGCTCGAGAGAAGGCACGTACCGAAACAAACATTATTGTACCTACTACCTACACGTCTCAAGTTTCACGGTATTTTTGTGCGACATCAAGACAAACGGGTGATTATGAACCAGGGCCACAGATCGGCGCCATCATCAAGACATTACCGTACCGCCGGGGACTCCAACCGCGAAGATGAAAAAGGGTGCTTCATTGCAAAGAAGAAGAAGGCAATACGGACACACATTTAACAACGACTGTAGTATCCCTTGTCCGTTGGGCTATAATATACTGTACACAGGCATCTCAAGCTCTCGCGATCGGTAGCTTGACTAACTCTTTGAAGCCTACCGGTGGGAAGCTCGACGTCCCTAATTATCCGGTCAACGGCGACCGTGGCAAGGGTCTCACGAACCTTAGAACTCACAGTACAGTAGAGTACTACAATCAATGCAGGAAAAACTCGCCGCAGTGAACGACTCTACGACATCAGAAGAGGCTTATAGTATTCTTCGCCACGCATTGGGGTTTATTGTCTTGCGTAGTGGGTGATGAACTGGCAGGTCTTGAATTCATTTTATGAGGCAAACGTGAGGCGTGACGAACCTACGGTCGTTTAGGTACAGTAATCTGCCTTCATCTATGACAAAGCTGAACAAATTCATATCACGAGTCGACCCTGACGTCTCCCCAATCTGCCCGTCCTGCCGACACGCTCCCGAATCAGTCCACCACTACCTGGCGGCGTGCACCAGCTACCGCCCGCAACGGGAGCGTCTGCAGAGGGCCATGGGTACCACCCGAGCCATCGATGTCAATCGACTCTTACACGACGCAAAGATGTTCCGCCCCCTGCTCCAGTACGTCTTCGAGACGGGACGCTTCTCTGGATCCCTAGGAAACCTAGCGCCGCCCCCGCCGCCCCTAGCTAAACGATAACTGCCACAGCCATAGCCACGCAATGCCTCGCATCCGACGGGTAAGCTTTCACGTTTTCACTTTCTACCTCAACCTTTGGCGCGCCCCCCCTACATAATCGTACTCCCCATACCACACACACGAACGATCACGCCCCACCCGCGACCGGCCCACACTATCACCCTACCGCTAATTATAACTTATCATAGAAGCCAAACAGGACCCCTGAAAACGTAGTGGAGGGCTTGGTCCTATGTGCGCACTGCACCTTCCTTTTTGGGAGGGTAGGCTTGGTTGAATGTACGCACCATGTTTCCTAATTGGGATACATGCCTGGTCTCAAGTACGCACCACAACCGTGGGTAAAAAGCAGATCTGCTACAAAGTACGCGCCGACCACCTTGTTTAAGGTGATCCTTGCCTCACTAACCCTATGCGTTCTCTTCTGCAAACCGAAAATGACAATAGGGTTTAATATTTATGTTTACATCAGTGTTTGACATGTCATTAACGTTGTGTTGGGCGTGGTTTGGGGCCTGATCTGCGGGATGCAAGGGTGTCCTCTGTCACCAGCTGCGAGCTTATCATACAGTTTAGTACAAAATGAAAACCGATCGCCGCGTGCGAGACGTATGCTATGTATTGTACGGGTGCACGCTATCATAGGCCGGCGTCAGACATCATTAGACATGTTCTGACCATGCTCACGCCGATGACGACGAATAATTGGTACCTAAGCTTGAGTCTGAGTCTTATTTTATCGTTGCGTATTTTTGATGCAGCTGTAAGTGCTCCCAACACTAAGTAATGTGTGCGCACCAGGGTAGCTTACCTGGACAGAGGCCTGGTCCTATGTGCGCATCTGCGACCCTGAATAGGGGCTAATTGTCGCACCAATTCGGACCAAACCGGGACCAGGCCTCCGGGGGGAATTTCAGGGGTCCTAGCCAAACCCGTATCATACACACGGCAGAGGTCATTGTTTGGTCACGACTAGTACACTACGGTACTCCTTTGCCCCTCCCCCCCCTTTTTAGTTCCTGTACACACGTCAGACCTGTCTACCATAAGGCATAGCCTCAGAGGACAGTAATCAAAGATTTTGAATGAATGAATGAATCTATGACAAAGCATCAACCTATACTGTTACGCCCACCTAACAGACACCTCCTACTAGACGACCCCTCAAACTAACGCATCTGTTCGAAGTTATATTGATGTAAGAGAGCCGGAGCAAGACACGACATGTTGGCAACTTATGTGGTACTACAATGCACGATGGATATTAACTAGGACTAGTAGCTGGTATCGTATTCGATGCGCAAGACACAAGGTATCAAAGAAATCCAAGAGCAAGAAGAACGAGGACAAGAAATACTCTCCTACAACACACCATTCGTGTCGACCAAGAGGGCAAAACAAAACACACAATGCAGTCACCGATTCGTCCAAAATTGTCGACACCAGAAAGAAAGAAAACAGCAGGGGCAAGAGCGAAAGCGAAAGCAATTAGACCTTATTTGGCGTCTTCCTCTTTTCAACCACCACAACCACAACCACCGCAGCAACAACTAGTCTCAAGCCGTCTTCACCCGCTGCTTGCTCACCACCGTCGCCGCCGCCGTGACGCCCACTCCGCAGGATGTCGACGGGCGCTCGCGGTCGTATCGCGTCTGGCTCTTGAACTTGCAGATATTAAACTTGCGCATCTTGGTCATCCGGCGCGAGCCAAGCCTGCACACCCGGGCCGTGCCAGGATCACGTTCGTCAGCGATCACGGTCGCAGACCTAAAGCGTCATTATGCTCGACTCAACGCACCTGATAAAGCGCCGGCCCTCCTCCGATACCTCGTCCATCTCCATCCGCGTAATGGACACCGCATCGCCGTGCCCGTATCCCGCTGCATCGGATGTGGACGGAGCATTGGCCTCGAGCTTGGGATTGCATGTGACATCGACGTGATACGCTTCAACGCGCTCTGCCCCGCCCCCGGGGCCGTCGCCCGCCGAACGCGCGATGCGCGCGGTGAACACAACGTCAACGACGTGCTTGCACCCCGACCACGCCAGGAAGTCCGCAAACGTGCGCAGGACATAGCGCACGCCCTTGGGGTTGAGCACGTCCCCGTATGGCTCGTGTACCATCACCGTGAGCAGGCGTAGGTGCGGTAGGGCGACGCCGAGGGCGGGATGCGTGAGGCCCACCGCGATCTTGACAAAGTTGTGCACGTTCACGTGCAGCGAACGTAGGCTGGTGTGCACCAGAAACGGTTCCTCAGGTGGGGCTGAGGCTAGACTGGTCGTCGAAAGAGAAGAACGGGTGGAGGAAGAGGAAGAGGAAGAGGAAGAGGAAGAAGACGCAGCTGTCAATGAAGGTGGGCAGGGGGACTTGCTGGAGAGGATGGCGGCAGCAGAATCCGAGTCCCTGGTCAGCGTACCGAGCGTGTAATCAAGCTTGTCAAACGTAAGATGCACCAGGTTCGGACACATCTCCAGCAACTGCACGAGCGCCATCTCCTCGAATGCATGGTGATCTTCTGGCTCGAATCTTAACTCCGTTACCAACTCCCATCCGAGACCCAGGGTGTTCAGACACACGACGTGCTCGACCGCGCACCGGAGCTCAAGCTTTGGCGGGAGCATCGTCACGCCCTCGCACCCAGACAGCTCCTTCAGATCCTCGAGGTCCAGCACAAGCCTCTCAGTCACACGCGCGTGCTCAAGCAGGCTCGCGAGCGCCGCATTCGTCTTCCTCCTGCCCTGCCTGTAGATCACAAACAGATCCGCGCAGCGCGGCGTGAACGCGGCCATGAGCTCGCACACCTGCACATCCCAGCTCGAGATGCACCGCATCGCGCTGTCCCTCTGCTCCCTCTCGATGCCCACACTCGACCAGCACCGCGCGTCGACCGCGACCGCAAGGGGCAGAGTGCCCGCGCGCTCGAGCCACGCGCGGTACAGCGCGACATCCGTGTCCTTCCTGGGCATACGGCTCGACGGACGGATATACAGCGAACACCACAGCTCGGGTGTGCTCCCCGCCGTGCCGCGCCACAAGTCGCACACCTGCATGAGCAGCAGCGGTGCGCGGCGGGCGTGCGGCTCGCGGTAGCGCCCGTCCGAGAGGCAGAGGACAAAGACCTTGCGGAGGAGCTCGAGGGGCAGTTTCGAGATCGGGGAGTGGGTGCAGTCGTAGCCGATGCTGGACCAGCCGGAAGAGGATCTAGAGGGGGGGGAGACGAACCTGACCTTGGTGCGGTCGTCCTCTAGCAGCTCGCAGAGGAGGGGGAGATTGCCCATGAGACTGGAGATGGGAGCGCGGCTGTGTAGCGCGTTGGCGATTCCTTCAACGGCGCGGAAAGCGGGGCGGCCCGGCGATGGCCTCGTAGAAGCAGACATATACAATGGGGTTTTCGGAGGGCAGCAGACACGGAGCAAGCAGAAGACGGAAAGTAGGAGAGACGTTGCGTGTTTGAGCACGGGAGAGCAAGCCGAAGCAGGCAAGAAAATTAGGACATGAGGACAGCACGGAATCTCCGTGTACTGGTGACGCCTCCCTATTAATAAGTCTCAAAGAGAGTTTAGAGTCGCCGACATTCCACACTCGAAAGCACCACCGACATTCCAACAGAGCCAAATCCATATCTTTACCGCACTTTGATCCGAGGAACGTTGTATGTCATCACTACTCCTCCACGCGCGCAGCACGGCTGGCGGGACGAAAGCTGTCGGTCGGAACGCACCACCGTTGAGCGCCAACTTCTCCTCGGGGGTGGTGTCTCGCTGATCTTCTTCTTGGGGATGAGCCCCACTGCCAGACGGGGATGGCCGATTCGATCTGCGGACCCAGCAGGGAGCGCGAGCTCACAGTAGAGGAAAGGAGAATCGAAGAGGGAGAGGGAGTCCCACGTCACAGATCTGGATACACTCGGGGACATCCCCATGCATGCCCGGGAGGTTAGTACCTCATGGACAAAGCCTTTATCTATTGTAACGGGTGGCCAGAGCGGGATCTTGAGCTTGAACGTCACATCGATCCAGACCCAGCGTCCTGCGACAGAGGTGCGCCGTTGAATGGCACAGTTACGATGAAACACAACCCGAAGCTGGCAACGCGCTCATTCCGATGAGCGACGCGGACACCACACCCGGCATAGGGGCGACTATCCAGTAAGCCAGCATCCATCTTCTCCTCCACGATGCCGAACTGGTCTGCCAGTGTTGAGATATTTTTAGACATGTGCGGTAGCTAACGTGCATGCCCCTCAGGCTACGGTTGCAGGCCTGGTCAATAACAAGGGGAAAGCACACCGTTTGGCAAAGCAACACAAGATAATTTATTGGTTCAAGTACAACGCATAGAGGCATCGTATATAAACAAGGTATAATGTTCCTCCACAAAAGCAAGAAAACATCATTCTCCACACCACACCACTCACTGATATGGCGATGGAGAGAAGGCATGTACCAAAAAAAACATCAATTCATACAATCACCGACTCTTACATATACTTCAAGCCGTCGCCTCCCGTTACTTGCCCTTGACCATCGGCACCATAACAAGCCCGCCAAGCCGGTCCACGCTCAGCTCAGACGTCGAGACCGCTCGGTCGTTCCGCGCCTGCCTCTTGAACTCTACGCAGACATCATACTCGCGCACCTTGGTCATCGGGCGCGAGTTAAACCTATCCGCATACACAAGCCCCCCCAAAACCGAATCAAACATCAACAACCCACTCCAAACTCCTCCACAACGCCCAAACCCACACACACCTGATCAAGCGCCGGCTCTCCTCCGACAGCTCCTCCAGCCTCATACGCGTCACAGTGAAGCCGCGCGGCACCGCGTCCTCAGAGACCTCCACGCGGTACGCCTCGCTCGTCGCGCCCTCGCACGGCTCGCGCATCATGCGCGCAATGCGCACGGTGAACACAATCTCCACCTGAGCGTGCCTGCACCCCGACCTCCGCAGGAACTCCGCGAACGTGCGCAGGGCGCGGCGCACGTCCTTGGGTGCGAGCGCGCCCCTGCTCGGCTCGTGCACCGTCACCGTGAGCAGGCGCAGATGCGGCAGGGCGACGCCGAGGGCCGGGTGCATGAGGCCCACTGCGATCCTGACGAAACCGTGCACGTTCACGTGCAGCGAGCGTAAGCTGGTGTGCACGAGTGCCGCTTCTACGGGTGAGCGTTGAGGCGAGCAAGGCGACGACAAGGACGAGGGTAATGATGAGGCAGATGGCAGGGATGAGAACGAGGACGAGCGCGATATCGAAGACGATGGCAAGGATGAGGATGAGGACGGTGGTGATGAGGACGAGGACGGGGACGAAGGCAATGAGGACGATGAAGACGATGCTAACGAGGGCGAGGAAGACGAGGGCGACGATAAGGACGAGGACGAGGACGATGTCGCCAATAAATTAGAGGATGGATAAGGCGTCAGCGTGAATGTCCTGGGCCGACCAGCAACGGTGGCGTCGACGCCAGCCCTACTAAGCGGCATGCCAAGCTCGAGATCGAGCTTGTCAAACGTGAGATGCACCAGGTTCGGACACATACCCAGCAGCCGCACGAGCGCCGTCTCCTCGCACGCATGCCGGCTCTGCGGCTCATACCTCAGCTCCCTCAGCGCCTCCCACCGCCACCCCAGCGTCCGGAGACACCCGACCTGCGCGACGGCGCACCGCAGCTCAAGCCGCGGCGGGAGCGCCGTCTCGCACCCGCCGGACACCTCCACTTCCTCCAGACCCTTCAGGTCCTCAAGGTCCAGCCTAAGCACCTCAGCCCGCTGCGCATGCCCCAGCAGCGCCGCGAGCGCCGCATTGCCCGCCCGGCGCGTCCCGTGCCTGTAGACAACATACAAATCCGCACAGCGCGGCGCGAACACGGCCATCAGCCCGCACACCTGCGCGTCCCACCGGACCTGGCAGTCCGCCCCGCAAGACGAGGGGCAGCGGCAGCGGCAGCGCGCGTCAACCGCGATCGCGAGCGGGAGCCCGCACGCGCGCTCGAGCCACGCGTGGTAGAGCAGCTCCGACGCGTCGTCCTGGTCGCGCGCCGAGACATCGGAGGCACTGGCACTGTTGCTATTATGACTATGGTTGCTGCTGTGGTTGTGGTTCGACGACAACGGCGACGGCGCGCGAATGTGCAGCGAGCACCACAACTCCGGCGTCCCCCGCGCCGCCTCGCGCCACAGGCTGCACACGCGCACGAGCAGCAGCGGCGCACGGCGCACGTGCGGCTCGCGGTAGCGCGCGTCCGGGAGGCAGAACACAAACACCTTGCGGAGCGCCTCGAGTGAGAGCTTCGCGATCGGGGAGTTCCTGGGGTCGGTGCCGATGCTGACGCTGACGCTGGTGGACCGGCCGGGGCGTGAGAGGTTGCCGCCTGTGAAAGAGGAGGAAGAGCATGAAGAGGAGCCGGAAGAGGAGGATAAGGATAAGGAAGAGGAAGAGGGGGAGCTCAAACTAGTTTTGATGCGGTCGTTCTCGAGGAGCTCATAGAGAACGCCGATGCTGCCCAGGAGGCTCAAGATGCGGGCGCGGTTATACAGCGCAGTAGCGAGCCCTTCGACGGAGCGGAAGGCGGGGTTGTACGTCGTCGGTGAGGGGTGACGCTCATGCAGGTGGTTGGGCATGTGGAAAGTGAAGCTGAAGTACTGCGCGCTAGGAGAGCTTTTTGCGGAGCAACAGGACGAGGATATGCGAAAGCAAGAGCAGGCAATCAGAGCTTTTCCAAACTTTCAGAAGCAAGAACAGAGCAGACGCAGGCAAGAAATTCAGGCCATACAAGTAGCAAGAAAGCGCGAAAGGAGAGGCACGAGGATATCGAGCGGCCATGATGGTAGTGTGCACTTATGAGAAAGACGCGCCTGTGTTCCATTCGGACGAGCGCGCCGTGATCAATGTCGACCTGAACAAGCACCGCATTCCATAGAATATGATATGATGCCCTGATCATGACGCCTCAACGCCGTGCCTTCAAAAGAGTACTATGCATAGTATATTGGAATTAGAATCCGTATGACACAGTGAAAGGCGGAATAAAACTAAACAACCGAACGCAAACAAACCACAGCCTGTTCTAGAACCCTCAGATGCAAAGGGATGAATCGGTGAAAGCCCGTCCTCCGCCTCCAACACCATCCGGATGCACGGCCCACACAATGGAAAAAAGGGGTGACTTCTTCCTCGCCTCGTCCGCGGCGCAGTTACGAGTCTTCGTCGGGAACCTCTTCTACGCGGGCAGCTCGGCCAGCTCGGCTGACGGGTCGAGAGCTGTCGGGGGTGTCGACCTCCTCGATGAACGCGCCGCCGTTGGACGCGAGCTTCTCCTCGGGCGTGTTCCCCGCCGGCGCCTTGCCCTTCCTGCTCTTCTTCACCTTCTTCTTCGGGATGTCCCACTCCCACCCGGGCACGAACGACTCGATCTGCAGCACACATCAGACCCACAATAACATGACATAAGATAGAGAAACAACGCACCACACCAACGTCCGCAAACAGATTCGGGAACATCCATATCCCCGGACTCGCGACAACCAGCGTCACAATATAAAACACAAGCCGCACAATCGCGAGCACAAAAAACGCGCCGACGAGCCCGAGCATCGCCACGCTCAGATACCACACGCCCAGCCTCATAATCGGCGGCCACAGCGGGAACATCACCCCCGCGAGCATCACCGCGACCATGAGCAGCCCGCCCGCGTACGTCGTCCACTGGCTGCCCTCGTAGAACCACGCGTAGTACCCCTCGGGCGCGAACGCCTGCTGCGGGAGCACCTGCAGCACGCGCGGCGAGCTCGCCGCCGAGCCCGACGGGCTCCCGCGCTCGACGCGCAGGAAGAACGTGAAGGGGATGACGGACTGCAGGAGCTTGGAGGCGTCCTCGTCGGACGTTACGGGCGGGACGTTCTTGAGCTTGGCGTATGCGGGGGACTGCAGCGCTTTGGCCGCCGTCTTGCCTGTGTAATAAGCATGGGTGTCCAGTAGTCAGCAGGGCAGAACAGAGCTCGGGTTATGCACCTGCGTCTGCGCTTTGGCGGGTGCTAGCGCGTGACGCACGAACAAGACGTGGGCTGACGGAACTCACCCTTGAAGTAGTCGACACGTTTACCATTGAGAGCGCCGACCCTAATCTTGATGCCCGCCTTGCTGCTCCGGAGGAACGAAACGACATTTTTGATGTCCTGGGGTGCGCTTGCCTGTCGCTCCGCCGTCGACATGTTGCAGCTGGAGGGGGGGAGCGTTCAAAGTTTAGACGGAATGCAAGAGAACCTGGCACAGGCTGGCTTCGTCGGACCACGCCAAAAACGTTACACAGTTCGCTTAGTCAGCGTGACACGTCTACCCTTGCTCCCGTGCGTCCGTTCGCACGCATCCCTCTTCCCTCTCATCATCGATCATCATCGGTTCATCAACGTTCATCCCCCGTTTCAGCGGTGGTCAAGGCTGTTGTCGCAGTCCAAATGCGTTATATATCCAGATGTAATGACACTCTCGAACAGCTTAAGGTATAAGGTACTGTTCGAGAGTGTCAATACCTATGTGTTCCTCTCGCTTCTTACCCCAAAACATGTTCACCAGACTACTAACTTTACCGCATACAGGCACGAAATCAAGAGTTTGTGAGCGGTGCACGGGAGGAATATCATTGCGGAGAAACAGTTCATGAGTCTAATGTAGTAGAGTAAAATGATAACAATGCGATAGATGTGCCGCTACGCCATACGTCAGGGCGCCATTGACATTACATTAACTTTAGCCTTGAGCTCAAGACGACGCGTTCGGCTGCGACTTTGTCTCCTCGACTGTCATTTTAGGGACAATGTTGTGCTCCTCGAGGAGTGCGCGGAACTGCCCGTTTCGCCACACTGCAAAGAACAGACAGCATCGTGTTAATTAGCAAAAGGGGCTCAGAAGGGCACGCAAAGGACACGCACTGTCGATGACAACGTCCGCGCCGCCGACGAACTCGCCCTTGACGTACACCTGCGGGATGGTGGGCCAATCCCTACACGCGAGTGTGTCAGCAAAAGGAACAGGAATAAGGACAGAGAGGGAGAAGGACGCACGAGAACTCCTTGATCGAATCGCGCAGCTCCTGGTCCTCGAGGACATTGAACGTCTTGAGCTTGTCCTCCGGGACCTCGGAGAGCGAGAGGACCTGGCACGCGGCGCGCGAGAAGCCGCACTGGGGCATGTCGGGGGTGCCCTTCATGAAGACGACGACGGGGTGGGCGTCGACGGCCGACTGGAGCTTGGTGCGCATGTCGTTCGAGATCCAGCGCTGTTGTGCGAGGGCCAGGGGTGACGGGCCCCGTGCGGAGGCACGCAGGGCGGAGGAGACCTGCAGGCAAGTCGAGAGAGGTTAGTCGAGTTCCTGTTTGAGAGGGAGGGGGGATGCAGACGTACGGAGGAACGGAGGGCGCCGCGCAGCATGGTGGTAATTTTGGGGTGGGTGAGCGAGTGTAAGGAGAGAGCGACCCGGGATTTCAGACAAATGAGAGTTGTCTTGAGGGTCGTAAGCGGAGGAGGAGCACAGTTAGTATGCCGCTTACAAACTCGGGCTTTCCTTTCACAGTAACGCAAGCCCCTATCAGCACGGGCGCCGGAACGGAGGCAAGGACGTCGGCAGGTGCGCGGGAGCTTTGTCGACGACCCATGACGACATGGATGTCGTGAAGGAGAACGTGCCCCTGCTCCGCTTTCCATCATGTAAGTACACCTGTGGACCTCACACCCCGCGCCAGCTAGACGGACACACGCTCCATCATATCGATATAATGGCCCGATGACTATTTAGGTGGGGCCATCCGAGCCTCCGAGACAAAATTGTCCTCCGAGGCGTCAATCATCTAATGCACCCCGCTCTTGCTATCGACGACATCCTCCGTATCATCTGCGACAAGCAGGATTACACCCGCGATCTTGCTGCATTGGCCAGAACGTGTCTCGCCTTTCGCGAACCTGCCCTCGATGCTCTCTGGTGTTCACTGGACGACGTTGACCCGCTGCTCCGGTGCCTGCCTCAGAACTTGATAGGACGAGAGCAAGATTCCTCCACCGGAACCCAGGCAAGTCACATTCACCCGCCACTACAATCCCTCTGACGCTCATCTCGACGCAGAAATGGACACTCCTCCGACCATTCACCGACTCCGACTGGACAACCCTCAGATCCTATACCCGCCGCGTCCACAGCCTATCCAGCCACACCCGCTCACATACCCACATCCACCTCTCCCTCTCCCTCGCTCTCTCCAGCCCTCCCTCGACCTTTCGCCCGCTCTTCCCAGCGCTCAAAGACCTCACTTGGGACGCCTCACGCCCGTCCTCTCCGCATACACTCGCAGCAGAACGCACCCATCTCCTGCCCCTGCGCTCGCTCGCTGGCCCAGAGCTCACCTCGCTCAACCTCTCGCACCGCTCCGCCCTGCCCCTCCCGCGCACGCTCCTCCACTCCCTTGGCGCCCTCTGCCCGCACATGCGTTCCTTCACCTACTTCTTCGACCAGACGTACTACGGGCCTCGCGATCATACCTCCAGCGGCGCAGGCGCGATACCGTCCCTGGCCGAGGCCATAACGCAGTGGCACCACCTCGAAACCATCACGTGCGACTCGCTCAGCGGTGACGCGCTCCTGCACCTCTCGCGACTGGACACGCTGCACACCCTCGAGCTGCGCAACCAGCACGCCCAGCACGTCCCCGTCTTCGATCCCGAGTCCTCCTCCGAATCCGAGCCCGCATGCGCGTCGCGATCGCAATCGAAACCCGCGTTTGCCCGCCTGCGAGACCTCGCGATCCGCTCGTCGTCCGCGTCCGACGGTTTCGCAGCCGCGAGACGCTTCCTACGCACCGCGCGCCCCGCCAGCCTCGCGAGTGCGCACTTCTCCGCGTGCGGATGCGCGGCGGGGTGCCCGGACGATCTGCACGACCTCGTTCGCGACCTCGCTGCTGCCCTTGCTCCGCCCCGCCATCCGAGTATCCACGGGCCGCCCACGCTGCGCAGCCTGTGCATCGAAGAGGACTCTGACGCGGAATACCGCCGCGCCCAGGGTTCTATGCCTCCAGCGCATATGAACCCGCCAACACCGCCCCACAGCACCACCACCGGCGCGAGTAAGCGCGACGACATCTCCGGACGCACGCTCGAGCCGCTCTTCGGCTTCCCGAACCTCGCCGAGCTCAGGCTCGACACGCCCCGCGCCGTCATGCTCGCGGATGACGACGTGCTCGCGCTCGCGGGCGCGTGCCCACGGATTCGGGCGCTGCAGGTCAACGAAAAGCGCGGGTGGCGCCCTTGCGGTGCTGCTGGACCTGGTGCTGCTGCTGCTGCTACGAGCGGCCATGGACTGGCGCCGGGACTGGACATGGCGCCGCCGCCGCGCGTGACGCTTGTCGGGCTCGTCAAGCTGCTCGCGGCGCTCCCTGATTTGCGTCTGCTGAGCATCGCGGTGGACGGGCGGAGCGTGCCGGTGTTGAATGACAGTCTTAGCGTCCGGGATATCGACTCATCCGCTCTTTCGACCTCCTCTGCAGCGTCAGAGTCAGAGTCGGAGTCGGAGTCAGAACCAACGCGGAATCGAACAAAGGCGACGCCGCCGCCAGCCAACCGCAAGACCCATCCTCATCCCCATCCTCATCCCCATCCTCAGCCTCCGCACAAGCCCAAACCCAAACCCAACCCACCCCCACCATCAACACCACTCCCAACACCACCACCTCCACCCCACCGCCTCTCGCTCGACCTCCTCGACTCCCCCGTAACACCGCACACACACACGCTCGCCGCATGGCTCCTGCGCGCGAGCCCCGCGCGGCTCGGGTGCATCGACCCGTGGGTGTGCTGGGACCACGCGCAACACCGCGCCGCGGCGGTGTACCGCGCGCGGTGGGAGGACGTGTTTGATGCGATGCGCGCGATGAAGCGGGATGAGGAGATGGGGGTGGGGGTGGGGGTGAAGGTGAATGTGAATGTGAAGACGCGGGGGCAGGCGAGGCGGGGGAGGGACCGTGTGCATGCGTCCTCGTCGTCTTCGGCATCGTCAACGTCAACGTCAACGTCGGTGTTGGTAATCCGCGGGGATACTTACAACAAGTTATAAGCGCGAGCGTCAGCTGGCCCTCCAGAAGGAGAGATTGATACCCCGCAGACGTGGTCTGTGGTCGCTCAGATACGGACGTAGCGTATCAACAAGTCGCTACATAGTCTTACTTTATTCACTCAGTACACAGAGGAAACATAACAATCAATTCCTTTGAATTTACCCTGTAAGTACTCTGCAAGCAACCCTTGCAATCGGGCTTGTCGCACTGTATCCCGTTTCACAGAAGCGCTGAGCTTGTTTAAAATAATCGGGGCCAACGTTATGATGGGGCGAGCAGCATAAAAAAAAATATGAGCGCTGTACGCGTGTACGCAGTATAAAAACGTATGGATATATAGTCGGGTATAAATTAGCACTATGGCGGATGGACCAGCGCTTCTATCCGCAGGGCACTGTCCGTGTAACATACAGGTATGCGAGGGTGGGATATAGCCATGATAAAACAATGTGGCATGGAAAAGCAAGAGCAGGCTGAAAATCAGTGTGAGAGCGTGAGACGAGATGATGATGTGTGTATGGTGAGATGACTGGAGGATAAAATAGAGAGAGAGAGAAAGAGAGAGAGAAAGAGAGAGAGAAAGAGAGAGAGAAAGAGAGTGAGAGAGTATCGCAGATAGATAAAGAAAAAAAAGAGACGCCAGCAGAGAAAGAGAAAGAAAGAAAGTGTGCGTGTATCGCCAAACCCCACCGCACACCAACCGCAGCTCACGTCGCCTCCTCCACCGCATGCGACTGCGACCTGCGCGAGTGGATCGAGAGCGTCCGGCGGAGCCACGACCCCTGCGGATGCCCGTCCTCGTCGCGGTCCTCTTCGTCGTCCTCGTCGTGCGCGTGCGCCGCGTCCGAGTACGGCAGCGGCACCTCGCGCGTCGCGCGGTACTGGTCCATGTTACCGAGGTGCTCGTTCTCGAGACGGTCTGACGGGCCGTGGAGATGGCGAGATACAGTCAGTCTCGTGTCCAGGACGGAGAAGTGGGGAAATGGAGAGGGAGGTGGAGAGTACGTACAGAAGTTCCACTGCACCCTGCGCAGAATCTCCAGGAAGGCGGCGATGAAGGTCCGAACGGTGATGTTGATCCCTCCTGTGGGGAAATAGGATAGCCAGGAGAAGCGGAGGAGGAAGTTCGTAATGAATGCAACGTAGTAAAGCTTCATTTACAACATCAAAGAATGGAATTTTGGGGAAGGAGATGAAAGACGCACGGGTATATGGCCAGTGTACATAACCTCTTTTCTAAGAAGAGGGTATCGAGCATTGCGCTGGAACAGCGACCAATCCATGAGGAAGTCCTGCAGGGATCACGTATGAGCACCTAGCATTGTGCAATGATGCCGGGAGGCACTCACCCAAGCACATGCATATAGGGAGTATATTGTCCCAAAGAGAACCCAAAGCACGAAGCTGTAGCCGCTCGGTTGGTTGTCTAAAAGACGAGCACGTCACATACATTAGTAATCACACAACACCGTCAAGCAGAACGACTCACTGTTATGTCTCCAGAAGTAATAAAAGAAATAATAGACCATTCCCATCCCGTACTTCCCAGCCTGAAGTTAATCCCACATCAATCAATCAATCACCCAACCGACAAAGAAACAAACACGAAACAAAACACACATTGATCAAATGCGTCGGCAGCCTCGAATCATAGTACCGCCGCAGACTCTGCACGAACCGCGCAAGAAACGGCAGCACGCCGAGGACGTAGTAGTACCCCCAGTTGTGCCCCGTGCTGCACGTCGTCCACGCCTCCTGCACGTTCGGGTCGTACGCGGACCTGACGAGCGTCTGCGCGTGCTGCGTCACCACCATCGCCACGGCCGTCATAGTTGGTGCCGAAGCATAGCCGGTGCCGCTGGATGTGGGCGTGGGAAGCACGATGAACGAGGGGAAAGGGCCCGGGGACGTGGGGCGCGGGAGTGTCGCTGAGGACGGGACGGTAGGGTAGTAGCGCGTGTAGAAGCAGCCGATGAAGAAGAGGTCGGAGAGGGAGTAGACGAGGCTGGTGAACTGGTCGCTGAAGGGATGTGGTTAGTCTACTGATCTAACAACGACGATCATGTTGCAGACGAACCCGAGCCAGAAATCCGTAAACTAATGAACTGTGGTCAGCACATCGCCTCATTTTACGTGCTCCAGCCCGACTCACCTCAACGCGCCACAGTCCACTCCCGAGGAGCTTCGCAGAGTTCCGGATGGTCCAGTATCGTGACCTGCCCCACATTAGGGACTACAATACCAGCACCACCATAATCAGACACGACGCCACCAAGCATACAGGCAAAACGCACCATAACAGGGTTGAACATGACCACGAGCACGACCAGCAGCCATACCAGCGGCCATATCAGCGGGTCACCGGCCCGCGCAAAAGACAAGAAAAACGCATAAGCGAGTGTGCAGCAAAGGAATGACGGTAGCTAGAGAAAACAAAGGTCATATCGTCAACATTACTTATTTGCTGCCGCCGTTTCACATTGAGAAGCACGCACTTCGAAGTATTCTCGGTGGTCAAGACGAGACCGGGTGTCCAGCTCTGAGAAGCGAAGCGATATGATCAGCGCTAACCACCACAGCCGATGATGACAATGGTACTCACCAAAAATGAAAGTGTAGTTGATTCTCTCGGTCGCCCAGACCAGCAGGTTGAGTCCGATGAGCAGAGGAAGCAGCGTGAAGAGGAGGAAGACGGAGTAAATGAACAAAATAACATTCCACGACGGTAGTTCGGCCTTGGTGCGCTCCTGGAAGCCTGTGTATAATGCACATAGATCCTGTCAGCGACTGTATGCGCATATAGCCAGGGCGCAAATGAACATACAAAGGATAAGCCCCATGATCAACGCAGGCACAGCAAGGCCCATCCACACGCCTGACCGGAACGTACTAAAGTGATGCGACTTGTTGCGTGAGCCGGCGCGCAGGCGGTTGACGGCGCGTTTCTTGTCGCCTCTCTCTGTTACCTCGGTGAGCCTTTTGGCAAAACGAGGCGAGACGACGGGAAAGTACCAAAGCGCGCGGCGAACAGCTCCTCCATCTCGCCGAGCATGTAGTTCACGGAAACACCAGAGGCGAAAGCGGCGGGCTCCACTCTCTCCTTCATGTAGGCCGCCTGCGCAGGTACCTTCGTGACCTTTTCGTACTTCTTGAGCGCTTTGCGGAAACCGGTGAGATTGAGAATCTAATCCAACGATAAACAATCAGCCAGTAACACGAGACGTCCGAACAGGAGACATACTCGGTAGTTGTTCAGTATCTCAAGTCCACTAAAACGAAGTTCAGAAAAAGAGAACGCGGCGCACGAGAAGACGACACACCGATAATGCTCAGCCACAGCTTTCTTCAGCTTCCTCTTCGCGTTGTGATACTCCTGCGGTTCCAAGGTGCGTTTTGGACTCAAATGGCCCGCCAGCTTAGGCGAGTCCGATCCGGCCTTGATAGCCTTCATCTTTCCGTTTCCGTTTCCATTCCCGTTCAAAGGGACCGCCGTCTCCCCCGAGAGCCCCGAGTGGTTGGTACTCTCTCGTTTGACGGAGAGATCGAGCTCAACTCTCTTCCCGGTAGGATTTGACGAGGGTCCGGCGGTGTTACTGGCGCTCGGAACGAGGGCTTGCAGAGCAGCGGTCAGGTTTTGGTGAGCTTTAGCCGACCAGACGGCGTTCGCGTTGGCCTCCTGCAAGCAAGAACGTCAGCCGCTATATAGAGATCGAGAACCGAGACTATTGACATACATAGAACACTTTACGATGGTTCTTGAGATCGCTCAGCTGGTCCCGCAGTTTTCGGCTACGGACTGCCATCTCCTTCTCCCGCTCAACGTAGAACGCTTCCACTTTTTCAAGTTCTCCATCCAGGCGCTCGAAGAATTTGGCATGTAGTGGAGGAAGCATCGGAATGAGCTCGCGAAGAGGAAGCGGGGCATAGTTGGAGTCTCGGAAGAACTGGAACGGGCCATGAGGCGAGACAGGAGCGAACGGCGTCGAGTCGGTCCGAGCAGGTGCCCCGGATGCATCGTTGGTGCGGTTGAACGGATTCGCGACCTTGATCGACAGGGAGGGACCTATATATAGCAGAGTTATGATGAGCCGCTGCTCAACAGTAATAATTAGATTGGTGAACGTACGGGATTTCGCTGTTCGTCGCTGCTGCAGGTTCCTCGTTCCCCCAGCAGCCCCTGACTCGGCTGAAGAGGCAGCATTTGGCTCCTCAACGAGGTTAGAGCGTGAGGCTGATAATGAACCATTCAAGGTGTTTGCACGGCCTATGACCACGTGGGGTGGGCTGTTACTCTGAGGCTCTGTTGGGCTCGGAGGAGGGTCGATGTCGACCGTTGCTCGGCGGAGTGCATCGCGAGCCGGAGTCGAGTTTGAGTTTGCCGACTCATACTGTTGCTGCTGCGCCCGTATCGCACTGATGGTTTTCTTGAGACCACGGTAGTCACTGTTACATCAATATGAAGGTGAGACCGTGACTGAGGCACTGATATAGGGTTTAGGACGGACATGTAGGCCTTTTTCCACTCTGGGGTCTGTGCGTGGCGCTTAGCGTAAATCGTTAGAACCTCGAGGTGGGAAGCGAGGACTGACCTGAGTATCCTGAAGGTATCTAGAAACGTCGAAAACGGGGCACCAAAGGTCAGCAATCCGTGATATGGCTGGAGCTGAGAAGGAAGACATACTGCGCAAACTTCATGGCTGAGCATTCGCAGCAAACGGAGGGTGAAAGGAGGGGGGATTAATGGTCGTGTGCATGAAAAAGTTGGAGGCAGTCACCCTTAAAGGGTGCGTCTAACCAATGGCCAAGCAAGGGTCGCGTTCAACCATAGCTCGACACTTCCTTGCGGCTGACCGGAGCGCAACTACCGCGTCATGTCATACCTTCCTAATTGGGTGGCCCCAGATGCGTCAGTCCCTCTGCAAATGCGGATAGGGGCGTTACATGGAGTCACCCTCGCCTCGGGGCCGTCACCGCTCTTCCACTGACATACCGCACGTTCGACTATTTAGGACGGCCACCCGCACAGCGCTCGGCCAGCACCAGACACTACAACCCTTCCACACAGCTCGGCCCTACGAACGTTTACAAGAATCGTCAAAATCGCAATGGTCCATACCCCTACCCCAACCGACCGTCTTCTCACCTACGAATACATCATCTTCGATGTCTACGGCACCCTCGTCGACTGGGAATCGCCCATCTACAATTCACTCAACGGCTTCTTTGAGGACCGGTCACTTGACGCTGTCCTCACAGCCTACCAGTCCGCCGAGACAGATCTGGCAGCAGCCAACCCCAACATGCGCTACCCCGAGATCCTCACCGAGGTCTACCGGCGCCTATCGCAGCACAACACGGGGCCACCCCCTGACACACAGAGCGGTCTCGCCGATAGCGGTGCATCCAGCAGTGCCGTCACCCAAGACGATCAGCCCCGCACCGACCCCGCCGAGCGCTTCGGCAACTCCGTGGGGGACTGGGAGCCCTTCCCGGACACCCTCGAGGGCCTCAAGATCCTCAGGCAGCGGTACCATCTCGTCGCCCTGAGCAACGTCGACAACGATTCCTTCGCGCGCACCATCGACAAGTTGCAGAAACCCTTTGACCTCGTCGTCACCGCCCAGGAGCAGGGCGTGTACAAGCCAGACCCGGAGGCACTCAATGGCGCCATGCGCAGGATAGTCAAATGGCAGAACCCGGAACTCGTTTCGGCAAGCAACGCGGATCTGCAGGGCAAGGTGGACGAGCTCAAATCGAAAGTTCTCGTCGTTGCCGGCAGCTATACCCACGATATCCAGCCTGCACAAGCCCACAAACGCGACGGCATGGGTACTGTCTGGATTGACCGCAAGGATGCAGTTATTGGTCAACCGGATGAAACCCTCCGAAGACAGGAGAACCCGCCGTGGGACTGGACTTACACCACGCTGGGCGAGTTGGCGAAGGTGGTCGAGGCGAAGAAGCCAATCAGAAGCGTGTAGGCGGGGGCAAGGGTAGTCAAGAATCACTGCGGTCGAATTGCTGTCCGCCACTTGCACGTTACACCTGTCATATTCTCCTCTATGATGTATCGATAACCAATAGCAGATCAAACGTTGTGACGGTTGTAAGAGTACATTCGTGATGAACGAAATCCACTCCCTGCCCAAGGGTATCACATCCTCACTTCATAGACCCCAGCATCTGCTCCAACTCCCTGGCTATCAACGAGTTCGGGCACGTCCTCTTCAATGACCTACACTCCCCAAGAATCATCAGCCCTTCGCCCTGAACACGATAAGCAAATGAAGGAAACGCACTCAAGCTTCGCCTTGTCCCCTCGCTCCTTACACTCCCTGCCCGCAAGCCTCCAATCCCCGCACTCGACATACAGATCGACTCGTCTCGGCGAATCACACCGTATCACATATGACGTCGCCTCCTTGCTGTGGCCCTTCTCAAGCAGGTGCCGCACGAACGCCTCGTACCCGATGGGACTCCGCTTCGAACGTGCGAACGCATCCAGGCCCTCGAAGTCGCGCATCGCAGTCAGCGCGTGCAGCTTCACGTACCAGAACCTGCCAGAACATGATGAGAGTGGGGACGTAATGAAGACGTAATGGCCGACGTACCGTTTGTCAGCGACCTTGAAGTCCGACTTGACCTTGTCCGCCTTCTTGGACATGCCGTTCATGAGCAGGGTCCGCAGGGTTTCGTTGATGCTCAGGCCGAAGAACGTAATCTTCCCGTCTGACTCCTTCTCGAGTTGTTGCTGGTACGCCAAGAGACGGGCGTTCTCATCCATCATCTATGTGGCCAAAAGCACCTTTAGGAAACGAGAATAATATTCGACACAGAAACGCACCTTCGCCTCAAAGCCCCTGTCTTTGTCCTCGGAGAAGAACTTCTGCGCCGCCTTGACTGAAGTTAGGATGGCAGCTGGATCCTACGCAGGTTCAGCGACTGTACAATAGATGTTTTATAATGAATAATTACAGTCATTTGCGATGCCTCGTCCAAGGACAACACAGCGCTCTCAACCCGACGGTCATCGGAATAGTAAAAATCGCGAAGCATCTCGCGATTCTGCTCCCTCGCATAGACTTGCAGCAGTTTACTCGCAGGCGCGAGCTTCGTACCGCCATCTTCAATCAACCGGAAGAATGAGCCCAGCGGCAGGCGTTTATGCAAGTGCAGAAGGACGTGGTAAACTGGCAAAACCAAAATTAGACTTCACGCTCAAAGAAATGAACCAAGGAAAAAAACTCACCCAAATCGGTATCGCCGCTATCCACAGCCTTCAACAAAGCCAGCCTATCCTCCTGCATCATCAACAACAGCGGCACCTGGTCCGAAGCCCGGGGCTCGTGGTCCAGCAGCTAATCATCCCATCATCCCATTCATTAGCGGTACACCCCTCAACTTTAACAAGAAGAAGAAGAAGAAGAAACAAAACGCCGACTCACCTTCGTTGCCAACCCCGCTTTGCCCACCTCCCACGCCCTCTTCGCAATGTCCGCATAACTCACTTCCCCATTGCCAAGCTGCTCGAACTTCTCCACGATCGACTTACACACTTCTTCGTCCGCAGTGAGCTCCGCGTCCTTGCCTCCCCCCGTTGTCGCGGGCTTCGCACGCGCGATCTTCGCGCACGCCCAGTGCTTGAGCACGACGTCGGGCTTGAGCGAGAGGAAGGAGGAGATGCGCAAAGCGAGGAGATGGAGATTGCGCGAGGTAAGGCGGGCGATAAGGTGTGATGGGGAGGCGTATTGGTATCTGCGGAGCAGAAAACGTAAGGTTACGGCGTTTACAAAGACAATTTGGGAGAACACTAACTGAGAATACGTTAACGGGATCCCGATGTCATAGAACCGGACTGCGTTCATCACTTTGAGCGCTTGGCCCATGTTTACGAAATCGGTAGGGTCGTAGAGGTCGAGGAATCCCCATCCAAACTTAGCTGCCTGGAGGTAGTTTAGAATTTTGTTAAAAATTCGGTGAATGGATTATCTCACATTGAGCAGTCGCCGTTGCCAATATGGTTCCCATTCGCGGCCAGCAGCATCGATGCATTCGTTAACGGCGACAGCAAGGTCAGGTCGTATACTCCGAATATTATCGTCAGCCTTCGCGGAACGCTGAGTGAAGCTATCCCATGCGTCGAAAAGGATGGCGGAGGGAGATGTGGATCCAGGTCGGAAGACGGAGAGAGAGGAAGCTAATTCTCGGAAGATGAGCAGCAGAAGGGATCGACAAGAGGTTAACGCACCGGGGACCTTTTGTATCAAATCACAAACTTCACGGTCAACCACGCGAACTCCGTCTACTTCTGATACTGCGAAGGGTGCGCCATAGTACATGTACCTAGAAAGCGTGTTATTTTGGGGGGAATTCAAGTAATGAAAACTCCTTACGGAAGCGTGTCGCCCGATGGCCCAACGAGAACGGCGAGGTTGCTCCATGTCACAATAATTGCGTCGTTCCCGCACCACTCCACTTGCAGTACAGAACCCTCTCCGCCAAGGGACGAGGTATCAATATCCGCTAGACTTCGTTGGAAGTCTGTTGACACGACCCATAGTTGTTCACTGAATGTCAGAAGCGCAAGAAGCTTGCCGTTCGGAGAAGGCGAGACGTGCGTGAAGGGTCCACGAGAAAGGCGTTGGTCCACAGCCTCCAGGTTGTCCACCGCCAGTATGGTTGACTCCACGGAGAGGAGAACTTCAACATGTCGTGAAATGTTGAGATCAGGAGGAATAATTGCCCATGCATGAGGTGGCTCAGTAAGACCTGTGTTTATGAGTGGATACGTTCAGAAGTGCGGTGTAGGCGACTTACCAGGTGATGCAAGAGTTAATGGTTTCCCGCCTTCCCAATCCTTCACCTCAAGCAGCAATAACGACCCCGTCAGTGCGACGAGCCCATTAGGGTGTATGCGTGCATCCACGATCCCCATCTCCGCCGCTTCTGTGCCAAGTGAGTGCTGAGTGTAGTCGCCTTGAAGGTCGTACAGCCGGTACACGCCCTCTTCGTTGAGCACGACCAGCTTCTCGTCTGCCGTCCATCCGAACTTGATGATCTTTCCCTGGTCCCACTAGAAATCATGTCAGGAAAATCGCTGAATTTTTATAGAGGGAAGTATCCACACTGAAGAGGAGCAAGCCCTCGCCCGCAAGCGAGTACACCTGTATCTGAGCCTTCGCAAAAGCCGGTGTCGAACGACCCAATGCAACGAGCTTGGTATTGTCCCGCATCATTGCTAACAACCATAACACGGAATTAGATGCAACATAAGAGGTGGGTAATGACGTTGCACGCGAACCTAAAGGGCCTCCATTCCGACAACCAGCCACGACGTAGTCATTGAGATCAGGTAGTTTCCCCGGTATTGAGTATACTTGCTGACGGCGGTAAAAGACGTTTCCTTCAGGCATAGCAGCCCATGTTGCTGTTGGATGTTCGGTCATAGATCCCATTCTGGCTGATGGTCGTGGTTGAGTTCGGAGTACTGTTACCGCAAGCTATCGAACATGCACAAGTCGGGAGGGCCGGACGACAGCGATGGTATGGCAGTAAGTAATGGGTGTCTGAAAGGAGATGGCGAAGAAGTGAAGGGAGCCTAGGGGAGACAGTGTCACGATTGCACCTGCTACGAGGTCGACACGCGCAAGGCTCACGCGTCGCACTCCACTACTATTGCATCCGGATATGGAACCCCTATCGACAAAAATCGGCCACATTGAAAGAATATACCACGATAAATGCCCTTGCAAGACGGTAATAATCTACTATTACAGCGCTTTGCAAGTGAATGCGGAAGCCTGGGTGGAGAGATGGCAGTGCACACTGGGGCCGGTGCAGGACCCCTGGCATGAGGCGGGCGAACGATGCGGAGTTCTGCCTGAATTGCTGTGCTCGCGTGGCCGAATTTGGCAGGTACTACTCGGGGTCCTCACTCGGCTGTCTCGGCGGGGCCACTTCGCGTCAGAGGCTTTTCCGCATCTTTGTGCAAACCGCTGTAATACATCCGTATGAACTTCAACGTCAATGTAGCAAGAATGTACGATAACGCAACGTGTTGTGATGCTGGGTAACCCGAGATGAAGCATGCGTAGTGAGACAGAAACAACAAATAAGTGACCTATAAAACGAATGTACGAACTTAAATAGCAAAATGCCACAAGTTAACACCGATAATAGTGATATGAAGAATTGAAGGGATGACTTCAATGCAGAGGACAATTACAGCACACGAATCGGGACGCGTGCCCTGACTTCGTCCGGGCCAACGAGAACAGATACGTCCAGATAATACTGGAAGGATCGTTAGCTGTGTACCCGTATGCGAGAGATGGACAGACTTACTTTCACGCTGACACCCGGCCAGTCGACGCTGGGAAGCATGTTTCTCGACAATGGGATCTTGTCTTTATGGAGACCCTTCGGTAGATTGGGTTGCCACTGGCCCTCCGAGCCTTCTTGCCGGCGCGGACGCTTCGGAAAGCCTAAGCAGACTCGCGTGAAAAGCGTCCGCGTATCCGAGTATGATTCGCTAGGGATTCCGGGCAGGGGCTTGTATGTAACAGAAGCGGAAGCAAAGGGCTCGTCGCGTGAGCGTGTCCGCATTTTGACCGGCTTGTTAGTAGGTGTGCCAAAACGCTTAAGCAACTTTCGGGTGTCATCGGAGTTGGGAGGTGGGGTTTCCGGAGGAGTGGGAGGGAGATCGGGTTGTTGGGGCGTAATGGTGACCTGACGAATCAGAGCGACAGTGATTGTCGCGTCCGAAGCGATCTCGCAAGTGAGGGTAGGACAATTCCGCGATGTCTTGTACACGACGTAGAAAGGAATGGAAGTTGAACGAGAGAATGTATGGGGGTGGGGCAGGGTAATCTGATCATGTCTCAGCTCAGCTTCGTGCCGCAAACTGGATAATTGTAGACACTTACGGCGCACTGGAATGGAATAAATCGCTCCGCCTTCAACGGCATTTCGATCCACAAAGAGGGTTCAAGCACGGAACCGTCCAGAGATTGGAAATCAGAATCTGGACAGAACGAAATCGGAGCCTCGAGTCTAATTAAACCACGTCAGTCTCACGAAATCTCCGTCATCTGCTAAATGAAGTACATACTTGGCCCAGTCATCGCCGTCGGTAGACTCCCAAGTAGCGATAAGCTTGTAGGCGACTTCCGATTTCTCCACAAAGCGCCTTTTGCGGCTAGTCTCAACCTCGGACGTCACCAGGAAAGTTGGGGGCATCTCCTCTCCAGGCCTCGAGCCCCGCGGGATCTCGAACTTAAACTCGCACGTCCGAGGACCGTTACTCCCACTGCTCCGCAGACTGCTCGAACTGCCCTTTCGGCGAACAGTAAAAGCCTCTCTAAGACTGGAGCGCGACTCGTTCGCCCCACTCATAGGAATGACAACGGAAGACGAGAGAAAGACGTGACGGCGCATGTCGATGGGAAGATTGGGCGAGAGGCTATCTTCGTCTTCTTCAGTCCGGACGGTGCGGTATTCGAAGGCACCCTCGATCTGGAACAAAGGATCACTAAAACGGTTCATGAGACACTGACAACATAGGCATACCGAAATTGAGAGACGCCCGTTCTGCGAGCAAGAAGGGTCTAGTAGGACTTTCCCCTCCACGCGATCGTGATCGTGAAAAACAGGTCGCGAGACCAGACCCTCAGCTCCAGGCTGCGGCACCATCTTCACAGATGGACTCAACACCTGCATCTCAAGAAGTAAAGAACTTTTGAAGCGCCCCATCAATATCGTCCCAAAGCTTTCTGTCGTCACAGCACTTACCGAAAATGGGAAACGTGATGGTTGGGCGACTGCGAAGCAGGGCTCTCAGGACACTCCCTAGTTGGTGTGAGGTAGAAGCTCGAAGGTGGTGCTGCAGAGTCCACTCGAACACGGGGTCGGATACGAACAGCCATATCGTCAACTGCAGCGGTGCACCAGGGGAACTTGGAGCAGGAGTTTGGGGAGAGTAGGGACGGCGAAGGGGTTCACGTTATACCGCATTCAGCCCAGGATATATAACTCATCCCTTCGGTACCCAGGGTAATGATATGACGGAGAAGTCAAATCCCTGGAAAGGCTCGCTTGAGCACCGTGGGCAGGTCACAAGAAGCGCGCCTGAGAGAGGTAATCCGGACGCTTTCCGAGTCCTTGAGAAGTCGCGTTGTGAAGCGCAAACCCGCGTGTCAATCGTTACAGCAAAGACGCGTGAATCCGCACCCAAAGTATTGTGACCGCTGAATCGCAGAAGCAATGCCAGTGAATACACCCAAAGTGCATTCGCAAACATGAGGGCGTGCAGGGCATACGTTCATATTATGCTCAAGTAGCCGGTGCAGATTTCCTCGGCTATAAATTCCCGGGGAAGGATGTCAACGCCTGGAAAGGAAAACAAGTTGTCGTGAACTCAGGCACACACCGAAATACGGACTTCGTAAGTGCGGGTACAATACGTAAGGCAGCCTAGAAGACATGCCGTTGGTCGGTCATTCTACGGGCACAAAGTGCCTTTGGGTACTTGCATCTGACCAACCACGATTCAGTCGGGTCAGCATAGATCTGGCCCGCGGAACACAAGTGGTAGCCGAAGCGGATTTATGGTTCGCTTCGGACACTTGCGCTGGGATGGTGGCGTGCAACACTTTCCGCGAAAGGTCTGTTGTTTCAATCGCTAGTCAGCCGCGTACTTCACTTGCTTAGAGTTCAAGTTCAAGAAGTACCTTAAGATACGTTGATTACGGCCTGATTGATGGCGATTTATTGGCTTGCGACATTGTAAGTTTGAGGGTGCGCAGTCTGGCGCAATGAAGCTATTGCAGCATACGACCCTGACAATATTTATTTAGAGGCAGTCTGCAAACTCCGAACTCACGACTGTGTTTGACATCAAGTGATATGTTCTAGTGCCTTGCTGAAAGCCACGATTCATTCCTACCAATGATCATGGACCTGACGAGGATTGGTTGCTACTGGATCGAGATCAACTGGAGACATAGGTGGGTCGGGGCCTACCGCCGCTTTGGCTCGCTCGCCGAAGCGCGGGTTGATCGCCATAAATACTGCCATGGCGACGCACCGGCGGGCCCGCTGCGCGCTCTGCGTGCGCACACGGCACTGGGGCCTGAGAATAACGTAAGCGAGGGGGCCCGCCAAATCCCGCACCCCCAAAGTCAGACGGAACAGCTTACTCCAAACCTCCCGGTAGTTGCTTGCGTCATCATGTCAAGTCACTCCAATTGTAATTGGACTCAACTAAAAGCGCTCAACTCCACCTGGAACAGAATTCCAAGGAATGGCTGAACCTAGGCAGCGCCGCTCATATGAATTTGCACGTCGTAAGGATGATCGTCCAGCTCCCGGTATTGTCTAATAGTCCAGACGAAAGCCGAAGATAACCCTTGCGACTTCTCGAACTCTTATTGCACGCTTGACCTGAATGAAATGAAGACCGAGAGTGGATTTTCGACGTCGTCAGAAGCATTCGAGGCACGAAATAGACTTTACATCGTATAGAAACTACTCCCACAGCAGGCGTTGACGGACCAACAGAGATGAAGCCTCCTGATAAACCTTCGCTATTGAAACCGGGCCGTAAGCCGAAGAACACCAACGTGAGATGCAACTGCAGCATAGAAGATCTTCCTCAACACCAGAGGAGAGCAAGACCAGAGATCCTGAGACTCGGGAGGGTCAAGATCGCCGCGGTGTCAAGTTGCGCGTCACCCGACAGGCTCAATCGTAAAGGTCCATTTGTCGTCGGCAGGCAGCAAGTTCTGCCCTCCCCATGTCAGCTTCGCATTGAGGCCGTACGTCCATGGCTTCCTGGCTACCCGAATAAAGGTGCAAATTTTAAGAGACCATGAGCAAAGGAAAAGACAGCCGGAAAGAGGTGCGAGCCGACTCACTACCCTCAAGGGTGTATCCATTAGAATGCACGATGACAGTTTCAGGGAGCGCAGGGGCGGAGTGTATGTGTGAGAGTACAAGCATCTCGATGACGGACTGACGAGTTGGGGGAATGGGTATATGCGCCCTTGGCAAAGTATGAAGATCTCTACTCACTATGATGCGCTCCGCGACAAGGAGTTTAGAAGAGTTCACCATTGAGCTGGCAATGCTTCAGTCAGTGGGGTCGTATCCAAATGCAAGTGGCAAGCGTGGCCCTGCACACGCGACGCATACAGCTTCAGATCACCCCTCAGCCTCACTGTCACCTGAGCTATCATCCCTGTGTGAGGGTTTAGTTCGCCGCCAAGGTAAGACGCGCCGTTGGAGTTCCGGGAGTAGGCATCTGGAGCATTCAAGTCGAGGCACGGCAAAAAGAGCAGTTTTGTCTCATTGAAGGGAAATATATAGTCGGGTGCGTTCATCGCGAGAGGCGGGGAGGTAGAGGGTTCAGCCTATAGTCGAGATACAGTGGTGTATATGAGCTGCAGTGGAAAATCTCTGCCTTTCGCTGGTGAAGGGAGAGGACGTGCGACAGCTGAATGCGAAGAGACGCACAAAGACATGGACAGATTCATGGTCGCTGGTCGGCAACGTCCGAAAGCTATATCCGGTCAGGACCCCTGTGGGATTGCGCGATCTCTTCTGCTTCCCCCACGTTCACGAACAGCCAGCATGAAAATCTTGGTCACAGGTACGTCCACATCAGCATCCTGAACTGTTGAGAGCTGCTTCAATGCACGCCTAACATATAGGCGCATCCGGCGTTCTTGGGAGTGCCGTGTATCAGGCCTTCAAGACACATGGGCACAACGTCACTGGACTCGCCAACTCACGGCCATCAGAGGGCCTTACGAAACTTAACCTACTGGATGAGGCAGAAACGGCTGCATTCTTCAAGAATTGGAAGAAGGATTCGAATGAACCCGCATGTATGGATCCTTCCAGGTCATGGGGCGAGTGCTGACGATCCCGTTGACAAGGGGTTATCCACTGCGCCGCTGAACGCCGGCCCGACGCGTTCACGAATGTGAGCTAGGGTCCGTCGCTGTTTATACGCTATGATTAACTTGTAATGAAATCAGGATGCGAATAGCATAGCTACAAAAGTGTGTGGGCAAACACTTCGTCCACGCACTGGGCACTAACTTGACTACTTTGCGTAAAGCTAAATGTCGAAGTTCCACGGAACCTTGCCAGTTTCTCATCAAGTCTCGGTTTCACGCTCATATATATCTCAACGGGTATGTGCCGTTACGATCATGAATTGTGTGATATTAATGATGCGAAGATTATGTCTTTGATGGCCTCAAGGACAACAAGGAACGGACACCGTCAGGCTACCCCACAAGTGCTAAAACCAACCCCCTGCAGGCTTATGGGGTAAGCAAGCGCGATGGTGAGGATAAGGTCCTCGCCGCCCGCGACAATGAGGGTGCCAAAGCTACCGTGCTCAGGGTCCCCGTACTGTATGTATTGACATCGGGCGATAAACCTTGAACCGATCACTCACATAGCCTTGACGTATACCGCAGCTATGGTCCAGCGCCGGAGAATTCTGACACCGCAGTCAATGTTCTAATGGACTACGTAATAGACAAGAAGAGCAGGGAGATGGACGACTACGCAGCCCGTTACCCTACGAACGTTGTCGACATCGCCAGGTTTTTGGTCCGGCTCTCGGGTGCGTAACCCTTCAGTTTCCACTTCCCTCTCTCGCCTTTTTCAGCAACTGCTATTCTCGAAATAGACTGATCTAAAGATACAGCATCGGAGAAGGACTTGCCTCGCATCATCCACTGTTCCGCCAAAGAACGTTTCACTAAGTATCAAATGTGCGGCGTGTTTGCCAGAATCTTGCGTCAGGTTCCTGGGAGCGAAAACGTGTCCGTCGAACACCTGAATCCCATCAGTGCGGCTCCTACGGACGGTGTTGCCAGACCGTACGACTCTCAACTTGACATTGAAGAGAACAAAGATCTCGTCGGGGAATTCAAGTGCTCAAGCTTCGAGAAGTGGTGCACAAGACATCTGGATCATAGCAAGAAGATCTTTGTCTCCAGACCCGGCGACTATCCAGACGTGTAAGGGTGAGCGCAAGGTTCGAAATTCGCGGAGGCAGTATCGAACAGTAGTGTACATCGTGCATGTAAGATTACAGTCTAGCCAATAGAAGCACAACGATGGCCGTTTCCATCAATTTTACTGCCCAACGTTCAACCTTCTCGTGCAAACCTCAAGGTAGACATGGGTCACTTACCATTATCTGGCGCTCATCCGCATATATCATCGAGGGGGCCGTTCAATCTGTCTTGATCTTCTCGGGACGTGTCGGCTCTTCATCTACCATCGTCCCAGATTGCTGCTTGTCCTGCCCACGGTTATCATGTCAGTATCTATAAAGAGGGGTCCAAGAATAGCACGCAGTCTAATTGCGTGCCGATGATCAAAGGGGTCATTGCTCACCGACTCATGGAAATAGGCTGTAAGTCGCGTGAAACATGAAAAAGGTGCCTATCAGGATCTGTAGATGCGTTTCACGTACCGGCCCTCTGATCAATATCCATGGCAGGCTTTGATACGCTTCCATCGATGGAGGACACGCCCATGGTGCGGTGCTGACCGCTTGCTTCCAGAGGGGGCGAATTGGTGCCACCCTGAGAGGTAGGCGCAAAGGTGTTAGTGTTGGAGGACATTGTCAAGTTGTCTTTTTTTTGCCCTTTCGAACGGCAGCGCTGTTATATACCGTCGAGAATCGAAGTCACACTCCAACATCTTGGTGAGCGCATACCCCCTCGATGACATCACACGAGGCGCGGGGTAAACGGTCCGAGCGAGTCCGCCGACATATCCCGATACAGACACTCTCCTCCCATCCCTTTCATTTCAGCGAAGTCAAGCAGATCCAACACGTCATTCATCACCATGAGGAAGAGAAAGCGATAATGTTTGCATATTGGTGATATCTTATAATTAGGCTTATTACAAAAACGATGCCACTGCTACTAAAGGTGGCGTCTGATCACATACAGTTGACGTTGGCTATGCGTCAATCGAATCTCGCTTTTCCTCCTTTACATCAACCGGCACCTCAGTAATCTCCGGGCCTTTGTGCGATTGCGACGACGATATCGACTTGTCATCACGGTCTTCATATCTCGACACGTCCGTCTCCACGAAATCGGTCGCCGCTCCAGGGACAGGGAAGATGCGGTTAAGAACATAATAGACGATGGCAGACGTGCCAAAACCCGTGAAGAATGAGAGCTCATAGATCCGCGTGGCGGCGATGGGCACGGTCTGGCCAGCTAAGAAACCCAGTTAGCATCGTATGGATCTCGGTGTATGTCACTAAAAAAACTTACTTGCTCCGGCGAAGCCCACCACGTTGATCATAATACCGGCGATATACGCTGCGTACGCCCTATGTCACCCAAGAATATGATCCACGGTCAGCTTTTCCCATCATCCCGCACGGGAGCATGACGCAGGGAACACCTACCTGAAGTTGATCCCCCACGTGTACCAGTACCAGCTGTCACGGGTCGTCGAGTACAGGTCGGTCACCTTGTAGTGCCCCTTGCGAATGACATAGTACTCGGTGATCATCACCCCCGCGATCGAGCTCAAAAACACCGAGTACGCGGAGAGGTACGACGTGAAGCTGTTGCTGCTCTTGAGCAGGTTCCACGGGCACATGCACAACCCTACGATAGCGGCGATATACCCTCCACGTCGGATGTTCTGCGCAGCACATACGAACATACAGACACCATCACTACGTCAAGGGGTGCTCTCTATGCAGCCAACGAAAGACACGCACGATGAAACGAGGACATAGCGCCGTCAGATCGCAGCCAGCGCTGACAGAATTTGCAGATATATTGGTCCTGTCGTAAAAAAGAACGCTGAGCAAACAGCGACGACGAGATCCCGCCGCTGGTGTCGGGCGAGACTTCACAAACGGATACATACCCGATCTGATGCACACAATTGACAAAAATAGTACATCATATGCAATACACGGAACGGGCGTGGATCGTGTCGCGTCGCGCATAGTGTACAGCGTCCGCCCGTCAACGCGGTGTCAACAGGTGTCAACGCGAAGCACAGAGGAGGAGCAGTTGGGGAGAGTTGGAGAGCACGATCGGCTTTCGTCAGCTATGATCGTTGCTATGACCTGTACCTATGTATGACGTACCTGCGCTATGATGAAAGAGGCGGATATGAACCAGACCTGTCAAACAGCCGTTGCAACAGCACGTCAGTCAAAGCTCCCATTCGCTTCAGACAGTTCTTGCAACCCGCAGCACCGAGGGTTATGCCAACGTCTCCGCGGGTGCCGGATCGAAGCACACCGCGATGTGCCGCCAAAAAGCAAAGAGAGCAAAAGAAGCCAAAATTCAACTTCGAGAAAAACTCACCCCAAAACGGGCCGCCGGGGAGGGGTCATTGTTGAGGAACGTGCCGAGAAGGTCAATCGGGCTCCAGATAGCCTCCCCATAGATTGCCTGCGAGGAAGAGCTGACTATGATGCCGATAAGGCACACGACACCAGTCGTGAGCGGAATTGCAAATAGCTGTGGATACAGCGCCGCCGCTGGGCTGCGCGCGCGCGAAGCAAAGTCGGGCGCGTTACTACGTTGGCGAAATCGCGAGACCCGAGTCGGTGGGGGGTGAAAGGTAAAAATCCAATTCCAGGACAGTTCAGTCGAGGATATAGTCCAGTATGTCGATCCAGCGCGAGAGGGTGGTAGCGCACGGAGAAGTCAGGGGATCCCGGGAAGGCCGTGTCAATGCCGAGTAGATAACGAGCCAATTCCAGGAGAGCGCGCCAAAACAGTGTATATGATATATGACAGCGAACACCGAGGCCCGTCCGAGGGTTGAAAGTCAGTGTAGCAATCAGTGGCACGCTCTGGCAAGAGGGAGGTCGAAGAATTAGACTCACGTCACGAGCGTCGCAGAGTTGCTGATGCACGACATTAGGCTGACGATCATTGCCCACCCGAGATTGGATCCATGGAGCTGCGACGGCTGGTTGAGAATGGGGCCTACTCCGTGAGCCTTGACGATGCACCAGATCAGAAAGACGACAGCCGCTATTGGAGTAACAATCATCTTTACGACGAAAAAGTGACGTCTTGCGGATGCAGGTTAATACTGCCAATCCTAGTATGCGGTATGGAAAAGTGTTCACATACATTTTATGAACCGGGTACCATATGGCAGGCAGCGATATCAACCAGAAGAGAAGAAAACACATGAAGTCGCGCGTGTTAGTCCCCGACGATTCCGGGAGAGAGTTCGCTGGAGGAGCTCGGTCAGACAATCTGCGACTCCTTCGCAACCTTCGTAATATGGTCTTACGAATATTGTTTACACTGGGCCACATAGCTCTGAGCATGACCAAGACACACGTTCCCCCGATGCTCGACTGCACTCCGTACCAGATACTGCATGTGTTTGCCTCAGCAAAACGCGTGCGCATCAAAACAAATTGCGAGGAGAAACTCACCAAGCCATCGCCCCTCTGTTGAAAACACACCACAGACTCCCGAAAACCCCGAAGCTCGTGCGGTTCACGACAGGAAACGTGACGTGGTGTATCGCGCCCGGGCGCGCGTTCGCGACAATGAAGGGCGTAACGAGCCCGTATCCCACCCACACGCAGAGATACGCTTGCCACCACGACATCCCCAGCTGAATCATGGACGACACGATCATCCACCTGGTCGTACGATCGATCGACCCCAATTCGTGAGCACGCACTGCAACGCATGATCAACATCCGACTGAAGAACTCACGTATTGATATTGAACATATCCGCGATCCAGCTGCATGTTCATTCAACCATAATTAGCTAGCGTGAGGCCAAGACGCGTCTCGAAAAAAGAAGGGGCGACCCACAAAGCGACATAGTTGTAACCCCTCCACGTCCTGTTCTCGGGCACCACAGGCAGCAAGTCCTCGTTCTGCGCGCGCCAGTGGGAGTTAGTGGAGCTCTTATGGCCTTATCGGGCACAGCAGCACGCGTGAGGGGAGGAGATAAGCCTCACCGTGGTGAACTGCTCTGCATAGCTCTTCGACGGGTCGTGCTCGACTTCGAGGGCGTGCGCGATGCGACTAAGCAGACTCATGGCGGAGGCTTTGGGGTTCCTTGGGGGCGTGGACGAGGGCGGCCTTCACACCACCCATCCATCCACAAGCGGTGTATTATACGTTGGGCATGCGTTCCTAACTTGTTATCGCGCTTGCAAGCTCAGGTGCCAGTGGAAGAACTTAGCCGACTGTGGACCATCACTGCATCACTGCGAGTGGGGTATTCCGATAGATAAGAGGTCCTTGTATGTATCCTTGTGATGGCACGCGACTCACCTCTTAGACGCCCGCGGCAATGTATCAGTTCCCCACGCATATCGCTGCACGCAGCCGAACGTTCGGCGGCACTGTCCAAAGTCGTCCACCTTATCGTCAAAGACAAGCTGGCAAGGGGCGTCAATGTCACAACGTCAACTAGATTGATGCTGGAGTAGATTAAAAGTACATATGCTCTCCAAATGCGACCGAGACAGTGTAATGCATGCGTAAAGGCGGGATCCAAGATACCTAAGCAGGCGGCCGGGGGAGGAACGCAGTGGCATAGGCGCAACGCTATAGGGAACCGTAATGCAAAGGAGGGGAGGATACGAGATGGCCCAATAGATAAATATCAAGGTTATAAACATGAGATGCCTATAATGTGGAGTGAAGCCAATGCAATGATATGTCCATGATGATGACGGCGAAAACATCGCCAGACATAATATAGAGGGGGTTAGGGAGTTAGGGGTTAAAGGGATGAAGGATGAAGGATGCGTGTGCGGATTATTGCGGAGCTGGTTCCTGCTCAAGTTGCTGCTGCTCAGAGCGAGGCGACGATGGGGAGGGAGACGAGAAGGTGAACGAGGAGTACAGTTTCTTACGCTCCGGTGTTGATAGCGTGGTTTGATCGGTAGTTGTAGCTTCAGGAGCGGCAGGTTCCGACGAGTCGCGGTCGGTGGTAGATGAGTGCTGTCCTAATGAAGGGGAGAAGTAGTCGCGTATTGCAGTGGGTAGATCCTGTAGCTTTACATGAGCGGCGTCCAAATTATAAGGACGGATCCAAGTCACTTACGTTCTTCATTTCCCGTGTCTGAAGTTCGCCGTCTGTGGGAGATGTGATGTCGAAAGCACGAGAGACATCCGCTAATGGCGAAACAGTGAATTCGTAACACTTGGAATCGATGACTGCCTGTTCCACGGTCGCCTGAGAAAGCGGCTTTGTTGTAGGGTCATTCGGTGCGTTTTTCTCGTCAACGATGGAGAGGGTGGACGACGCCTTGCGGCTGGACACCTTCTTGCTGCTCTTGCGGCCTTCGGAACTCTTGCCTTTGGAGGAAGAAGGTTTCCGAGGTTGAGCGTCCTTGTCCTTCTTAGAGGGGGCAGTCGTGGCTGGAGTAGTAACGATCTTGGACGCCAGGACGCCGGACGCCTTGCGTTTCTTGATATTACTGTTGGAGCCTGGGCCGGCAGGTGTTCCGGTGACTGGGTGAAGGTTCTCCTTCTCAATAGAAGCTAGGGTGGATAGGGATGTGGATACGACTGGGGATGAAGCCGGCTTCAGCGCCGCAGCACGCTTTGCACGCGCAGGCTTGCTGATTTCTGCAGGTATGTCCTGGAAGACGGTAAAGGCACGGGAGGACATTGGTGTGGTCGAAACGTTAGATTATGAAACGGGGGTGCAGAAAGAGCAGCAATCGAGATGAAGACCGGCTATCGGAGGGCGATGAGCAGCGCTGGGGTCGCGTGAAAGGGGCGTGTTCGTCGTCCTGAACGTCGAGGGGGAACGTGGTCCTGCACCACGCGCTGAAAACGAACATGAACATATGCCCACATGACCTAATAAATTCGGTCTCCGCCGACTCCGCAACTCAGAACTTTATTTCTGACGCGCTGGACGCGCTGTGATCACGTGTAGCGGCAACTTACTAGCATTGGCGCAAATCCTGCAAATTCGCTGAGTTTTTACACCAAGTGAACCTAAAAAGAAATAAATTGGCTGTCAAAGTACTTCACCCTGGGTGCAAATTTTGTCTTCTAACCTCGCTGTACTCATTCCTCCAAAGGTCTTCAGTTCGCCGGTACTGCCTCTGAAACCGGAGACCCCGTTGGACGGCCTAAATTATTCGCAAGCTGTGTCCCTGCACCAGAGGTCAGCGCTTATCTTGAGGCAAGCTTCCACTTCCGTCGTTTCCAATTCTTCCAAGCTGCTTCGGTACCGGCGGTGTCTCACAGGAAAATAAACTAGCTTACACAAGGATAAACGCTTTTGAAACGCTTACGCCAACGTTTTACATGAAGTTGATTTGGTAAGATCACCTCTCGATCCGTAGCGCACGATCTGTTGCCTTCCGTTGCACAAGCTGGATGTGTCGTCTAGGAATGTATCAGGCGCCCAGAAATGGTTTGGAGACCACTTTGACCATAAACCCACAGGCGCCGCAGCCCATTGGTGGGTCCAGCGGGCGGGAACTTGGGCGCTGCGGCGGGGCCTGAGGCAACCCGAGGCTGGCCGAGTGCTGGCCGTCCAGGCTGCCCTAGACGGCGGGCCGGAGGCACAGGCCTGGCTGCTGCTCGCTGGGTCTCGCTGGGTCCGCTCGTCTGTCCATGTCGAGGCTAGACCACAGGCACGCGCGAGGCACGCGACGCAACGTTTAAATAATCCTCTTTGCAATCACTACATATCTCATTTCTTTGCCATGCTTGCCAAGGATTGATCTCTCTGCGGAAGCACTGTCCGCGTTCCATGGCAAGGGTTTGCCTGTGCAGGCGATGAGACAGAGGTGAGACTTGGAGGTGGCCGATGCAGACGGGTGAGTTGGAGCGTCATAATGATGCGTATCGCACAGCTGGGTGTAGCAGGTGATTCCTTTTCTGCTGTGTTTGTCAGAGAGACGGGATGACGGTGGCGGTATGACAGAAAGATAGACGAAGAAGAGGGAGATCGGAAGAGATCGAGGGATCGAGATCTGTGGAGGGGCTTAATGAGAGCGAAACCCTTTTCGAATGTGGCAGCGATCAGAGCTTCCGGATTGGGGAATTGGAGTGTGCTTCGATGACGAGGAAGCGATCGTTGGACATTTTTCCACTCTGGGCACTCCCGCGACGGCTAATTGAAATGGACGACAACATATCTCACCTGGCTCGTGTTTGCATCTCTCATAGAAAAACGCTCAAGTCTCCATCGTGCTTCAGAGACACGCCCTCTCACGACCCATCACACTTGCACAACGCCTGCACATCTCGTGCTGGCCAGCCTCATGTTCAACACGCCTTCCCAATAGAAATCCCTCTTATATATCGCTCCTCCCTCCTCCACCCCTCTAAAACGCTAGGCTCAGTCGGCAAGCCCCTCTCACACCTGCCCCTCGACGGCGACCTCAACTCCTCCCTAGACTCGGAGGCTCTTCTCTCTCTCCCCATCTCGCTGCACTTAGTTGCGCGTGCGAAATGCCCTCCAAAACCGCCGCCTCCGTCGCACCTCCGCCCCCTGCCCTGGGCACCTACATTGATGGCGGAAACCTCGAACTCGTCGAGGTTCTCGGTGTTGGCGGATACGGTGTCGTCTACCGTGCTGTCGACGTCACGGACCCTGCTCTGCCCTCGTACGCAGTCAAGTGTCTCGTAAACAACCCCGCCCAGTCGCTCTCCCGTCAGCGCCAGCTCCACATTCGCGAGATCACCCTGCACCGCCTCGCCTCCGCCCATCCTAACGTCGTGAAGCTTCACCGCGTCCTCGAGGAGCACCCCTATACGTTCATCATCATGGACTTCGCCAGCGACGGAGACTTGTTCTCCCAGATCCTCCACAGCTGTCGCTATCTCGGCAACAATGCGCTTATAAAGCACATCTTCCTCCAGCTCCTCGACGCTGTTGAGTACTGCCACTCACTCGGTATCTACCACCGAGACCTCAAGCCAGAAAACGTGCTATGCTTTGACGGCGGCTATCGCGTTGGCATCACTGATTTCGGCCTCGCCACGACCGATAGGTTCAGCGAGGAGTTCCGGACAGGCAGCGTGTACCACATGAGTCCAGGTAAGCGAACCGCAATGCCTTTTTCATTTTTCACATTTCTTACGCCCGTTTAATCAGAATGCCAGGGTGGTGCTTTCGCACCCACAGGGTCCTACTCGCCTCTGTTCAACGACATCTGGTCGTTGGCCATCATCCTCTTGAACCTCGCCACGGGACGTAATCCGTGGAAGTCGGCTTCCACCTCCGACCCGACCTTCCAGGCATATCTCCAGGACCCTATTAACTTCCTCCCCACTGTCCTCCCTATTTCTCCTGAGATCAACGACATCCTCATTCGCATGCTGGAGGTCGACTGGCGGCATCGCATCACTCTGGCTGACGTCCGCGCAGCTATCATGACTATCGACAACTTCTACGCCGACGGGGTTGTTTTCGAGGGCAGTATGGCTCGCTGCGCCTGGGAGGTCGACCTCGATCTTGAGGGAAGTGGCAGCAGCGACAGCGACGCCTCGTCCACCAAGGATGAACCCGCAGAGGTCCAGGTTCCACAAGATGAGACCCTACGGTCTTTTTGGAGCAAGGACTCGGATACCGAGATGGGCGCACCACAGACTACGATCCGCGAGCCCAGTTGGGACGCGGAATTTACGCAGAGCAATGCGGCGACGTGGGAGTCATCCATACGATCTCCCTCGCCGTCTCTCGTGCACCCGCTCAAGTTGTACGCCAACGACTCCATTCGGACGCCGCCCTCCACGTACTCGCCCATCTCGCCCGCCCTATCGGACTCGTCAATACCGTCGGCGCCGTCGACTCCCGAGGGCATCCCTATTCCGCGTCCTTCACACATGCCGCGCAAGGCGCGCCTCACCATCGACACCCACTGCAGCCGCCGGCCATTCTACGGCGGGGCCGCGGACTCGCTCTCGACCCTGTCGTCGAGCATGCACACCGCCGTGGACAGCGAGCCGAATTCGCCAGAGACGCCATCGTTCTACCTCGGCACGCCGTCGCCGCTGTCCAAGATATCCCTCACCTTCACGCGTTCGCACGCCGACATGCCCCCCTCCTCCGTCGACCTGGGATACGAGACGCCCTCGAGCCATCGGCAGCAGCAGCCGACGTATCACCTCCACCATCACCCTCACGCCCATCACGCCCCTCACGCCACAACCAGCCATCATCGCCATCTAGACTCCACTTCATGGGATTTCACGGATCCGGACTCCACCCCTTCATACCCAGGTACGACGATGAGCAGCTTCGTCGGCGTGCAGCACAGCCCATCGCAATGCGGCTCGTCGATGGCGGCTGTCTCGCTCGCTGACGCATCGGAACACCACTACCTCGACGCAGACGAGGACCTCGAGGAGCCACACACGCCTGCCTCGTTGTGGGCGCGCGATGCGACGGTCCCCTTTGGCGCGTTCGCGCCGGCGGCTGTCTTTGCCCGCCCACAGGCCAGTATCAGCGGCGACTCGCCAGCGAGCGCGGGTGGCAGCACGCCGTCGCCCAAGTCCGCGGGCGTCACGAGCTTGTTTAAGCTCGCATTCCAGCGCAACGGGGCCGGCGCCAGCAGCAAGTATACCCCGCCCCAGCTCGCCCAGCGAGAGCTCCCCCCCATCCCTGCAGACGAGGCGCCTTACCCACATCTCCACCACCACGACTATCCTCAACCGCAGATGCAGCTACCTCAGCAACGGCGACCCGTACCAGAGTACGCCGCTCACCCCCAAACGCCCTCACACCCGCGCCCACGGCGCCAATCGGACCCGTTCCACCTCCAGTCGCTCTTCGCCCGCGCAGCACCGACACACGCGACCTCGCCCGCGCTCGCCACGGGAACAATCAGCCCCGTCGACTCGCGCTCGGGCCCCTCGCGGCCCGCGTCGCCGCCGAGCCCCGAGTCCGCGCCGCCGCTGCCCGTGCAGATGCTGCCGTACCCCGCGACGCGCGCGCTCGGCGCCGGGTGCGCGGTGCAGCAGCGCCAGGTGTCGACGCGCATGCGCAAGCGGCACTGGTTCTCGCCCGGGAAGCTGTTTGCGGTCGCATAGCGGGGCCCTGGACGACTGCGCTTGTTTGACATGGGTTTTTTAACTTATCTTGCGTTGATTTCTGTCCTCTTTTTCGGCGCCGGCCTTGTGCTTGCCTCGATTTACTTTTTTCGCTGTTTTTCTTGTTTATACATGCCCCTGCCCACGTTTCGGTTTTCTGGGGGTTTATCGCGTGTTACCGTTCACCCTGGTTTTTAAGCGCACGTTTTTTCCTCCTCTTCTTTTCTCATCAGCTTTCGTCTTCACCCATCCATCCTCGAACTCTAAAACCACACCGGCACTCGCATCATTGGCACCGCACGCATCGGACACAAGTACTTACGACGCTTGTCATTCACGCCCACGTTTGTCTTTTGTTCGCGTTCGCGCTTTCGCTTTCCCCCACCAGGTTTACACACATATATATGAGAGAGGCAGCAGTTGTGCATTACTAGTATTATGTATCGAGTACCAGGTGTACACCGTGTTGTATCAGTGGTTAACATACCTACGCAGCGCCTGTAGCAGTTAATCTGTAGTAGTTAAAGCTCTTAAACAGCTAACAGTGCTTTAACGAGGCCGCATTAGAGCGGCCCGCGATTATAATCACGCTTGATCGAAATGATTTTGGACTTTGTGCGATGATTGATGTAATGGGTGATATGTTCTGGGAGCTTTGAGGTACCGTAAGGCCCTGGTAGGCTTTGATCTTGACTTCGACTTTAACTCGGTACTAGACAATGAGCTGTTCCTCGTTTCCTCCGTCCTGACTCCTGAGTCTGACACCTCGTTTGCCCCTGGGAACTAATGCCTCAGGCCTTCAGCTTCCAGGCCGGCCTAGCTTCACAAGCGTAGTCGCGTCTGATATTTATTATTACACAAGGCCGGCACCTTCGCTCACGCTCCGATGTTCATTTATTATTACATGCCCAGTAAAGCGTATCATGAAGTCGCCCAGGGCGTTCGTATACGGCACCACAGGCAACGGCCAAGAGCTGGCGCTGCATATTAACGAAGCCTTGGCTGGGACGCCGCTCCAGCTGGGCGCCTAGCAGCCACTACCAAGTACTAATTAGTTGCTTGGAGCAAGCCGGACGCACACCCGCATTCTCCGACGAGCGAGTCGTAGCCTTAGTCATAGGCAGGATGGCACTGGCCAGCAGCAGTGGGTCCCATCCCCAAAACAAAAACAAAAACAAAAACAAAAACAAAAACAAAAACAAAAAAACACCCATGCCGCCCACTCTGAGAAGGCCATTCGAAATTCCCCTCAGCCGTAGGCACCACGATTCGCGGGCCGCACACTTGGCCCCGTCCGATACGGATGTCAAATATATATCCAACCGCACAATTACAGTAACCCAAGCTCAAGCTCCAGCCCAATTGCAAGCTCAAAGTTGCGGATGCGCGATCGGCATCGACCCACCGCAGGTCCGCGCGCGCGTGCGCGGGGCCCATCCTGCCTGTGCATAAGAGGCATGGGGCAATATAGCTATTGGAATACTATAGGGGCGGCAACTAGGGCGCGAGCTGCAGACACCCTTCCTTGCAAGGAGTATCCACGATAAGAAGAAGACAGTCAGACAGCCTCGCCATGGCCAGCCCGACAGTGCCCGGGCCATGCCCGCTCCCCAGAGTTGAAATGGGATGATCCCATAAAAAGCGGATGTTGCGTGCACGTCCAGGGATGCATGCTGGATCCGGATGATATCCGATTCATCGCCTGCAGTAACAGGGTTATGCTAATTTCGACGCGATGGAACTTAAGGGCGCTGGGTCCGACTCGCGCTAGCTCACATGCGGGAGGGGGGGGGGGGTCCGCGCCGCGGTGGTGAGTTGTGGTGAGACCCTGGTTTCAGGACTCCGACTCGGAGGGTGGGTTAGCTTACACATATGCGCGGCGAGAGGAACAGTGGAGAGGAACGCCGTGCGATGCCCGAGGGGGCGCTGGCCTGGCAGCTTAGTGCATAGATAACGGGCTGGAGGTGGATGCACGTAGATGGATTAATTAGTTAATTGTTGGCGCCCTGAACATGGACAGAATTCGGGGCTTCGAGAAAATGGGCAGGGGATGCACCTATATGGTGGACAGCAGTCGTAATGGAAGGAAGAGTGAAAACAGCCTAGGCTGGTGTAGCATGCCTCGATAATCTAAAATGCACGTCCCGACCCTGGGCCTGAGGCTAAGCCAACCTTGAGCGAAGCTTGAGGCCCGAAGATTCGACCGACGGCGACAGGGTCTATTACCACGTCCGCAGATCAACAATCCTGCGCCCGCGCTCCCGCTCCATCGCGTCCTTGCTGCGCAGCCCCGAGCCCTTTTCCATGCGCCTACCGCGCCCGCCAACACCGTCGCCCATCGCGAGCGGCGCATTACCCGCATGCAGCATCCTAAACAGCGCCTTGATCACATTCAGCGGCGTCCTGCTCCCCCACACCTTGGCGCTGACGTCCTTGATGCCCGCGGCCTTGAGCACCTGGTGCACGTTCGGGTTGCACTGGAGCCCGAAGCCGACCGGGCGCGGGCGGAGGAGAATGCGCGTGCCGCCGAGCTTGGCCTCCATGTCCGTCCAGATCGTGCGGTCCTCGAAGCGCTCGACGTAGTCCATGTTGCGGACGGCCTCGGCGAGCGCCTTCTCCGCGGCGCGCGGGGCCTCCTCGTCCTTGCCCTCGCCGAAGCCGACGAGGCCGTTGCCGTCGCCGACGACGATGAGGGTGTACATGCGGTGGATCTTGCCCTTGCCTGTCTGCTGGGTGACGCGGCGGACGATGAGCGGGAAGCGGTAGAGCCGGTTGAT